CTTCTGTAAGATCCAAAACAAGTACTGTCTTATTTCAAAGGGAAGAACCGGGCACACCTAAGCAAAACCAAAGTCCAGCAAAGTAGCTCAAGGCTGGACATCTCTGTGGGTGGGCTTCTGTAAAATCCAAAACAAGTACTGTCTTATTTCAAAGGGAAGAATCGGGCACAGCTAAGCAAAACCAAAGTCCAGCAAAGTAGCTTGAGGCTGGACATCTGGGAGTCACTCATGATCTTCTGGCCTCCAAAGGGTACTGGCAGCTCTGTCTCTGCAGCCACAGCACACACAGCTTGTCTTGCAGACCCAGGCCAGCTCCATTCCACACTACTGCTGTCCTTCGTGGTCATCCCATGGTCCCAGCATCTCCAAAAAGCTGGGATCTCCACTGAAACTGAGGCTACACCTTCACCAATGGCTTCTTCTTGCCTCTTGGGGTGCAGAGTCTCAGATTCTCTCCATGACCCCTTCAATCCTGGGGTCTTCACTGCAACTGAAGCTGCACTTTCACCTATGGCCTTTCCTGGCCTCTCAGAGTGCCAAGCCTCAGCTGCTCTCTGTGACCTTTCACGCTTTTAACACCAGAACCATGCAGGAGACTCTTACACATTACCAAGTCCTGCTTCCAGCTTGACATAGAGGTGCAGGTCCCCTCTGTGTGCTGACCCTGAGGAAATACCTCCCAGAAGACTTTACCAGAAGACTTGATACTTACAGCTGATTTTTCAGCCCCAGCTTACCAGCATCAATTGTCCCAGTAAAGCAAAGGTTTTACTTCAGGTTCTGGTCTCTTCTTAATCACAGCTGATTCTACAGTCCCAGCCAATCAGAACTCACAGATTCTCAATTCAAAGTATCACACGAACAGCCCTGATAGTCTCCGCTTCCCTTTGAAGCTTCACAAGCCTCCATTGTCTACAACTCTTTCAGCAGAACTGTTCCAAGCTCCACAGAAACAAACTCGGAGCACTCAATGGCTTTTCTAGGCCAAAGTTCCAAACACTTCCACAATCCTCCCCATACAACTGGGTCAGGTTTGTTACAGCAATACCCTACTCTCTGGTACCAATTTCTGTCCTAGTTTGTTCCTCCATTGCTGTGACAAAATACTCGGACCAACACCAACTTGGGGAGGAAAGGGTTTATTTAGCTTACATATCCTGAGTCACAGTTCATCCAGGAGCCCAAGGTAGGAACTCAGGGCAGGAACCTGGAGGCAGGAACTGAAGCACAAGCCATGGAGGAATGCTGCTTACTGGCTTGCTCCTCCTGGCCCCAGCCTGCTTTCTTATACAACACAGGGGGTGGCACCACCCACATCACTCAACAGTCAAGAAGATGCCCCATGGATATGGCCACAGGCCAGTCCAATAAAGGCAAATCCCCAATTGAGGCTCCCTCAACCCAGGTGAGTCATGTTGACACTAAAGCTATCCAGCACAACAGGTATATACCATCATGCCCAGCCATTTTTTTTAACTTTATTTAACCAGCTGGGGACTAAACCCAGAGCCTCATACATGCTAGGCAAGTGCTCTACCACAAAGAACGTTTAAGAGCGAACACACCCTTACACGCTGGGGTCAGTGTGGGTTCAGGGCTCAGGTGCTGCCTGACAAAAGCAGACTTCCTCTGTGCCTGGCTTCTCTCCCTCCACCCTTCGTCAGAGAATCATCCAGCCTGCTGCATGCAGAAAGAGTTTGTTCTTTTCAATGCTTTGTGTAAATATGAAACAGTTTATCCATTTCCCTATGGATGGGCATTGCTAGTGTGAAATTTGTGGACATGGCTTCTGGCATAAGTTCATATGTCCTTCTGTTGGGTACCAACACCTACTCGTGGAAATGAGTCACAGACCTGAATTTTCAGCTTGAAAGACACTGCACGCATATACATACATACATACATACACACACACACAAATGCGTGCACACACACGGGGTGGGGTGGGGTTGGGGAGGACACAACAGGGTCTTTACTGATAGAATATGTAAATTGCAGAAGAGCCACAAGCCTTATTAGGGAAAGCCATAAATCCCTTAAAGTGTCTAACTGGCCCTAAATTGGCAGCCTGGCCTTGCTCAAGCCTTATGATCTGGTCACTCCCGGGACTGAGAGAGACTGTTTGTGGAGCCCACCTGTGTCCTTTAGTGCCATAGATAAGTCACCCATCTGTCTGAGAAAAGAGACCCTCAAGGACACCAAACCTGGGCACTAATTCAACTCCCCACAAAGTGCAGCTGTGTCTCACAACTTTCGTATAAAAACACCTGGTTTCTTTGTCTAGTCGTAGATGCCTGGCTCCCGCGGACAGCCTCTACCTCTCACTGTATCTTCTTTGAATAAAGGAAGATCTATTCCCTGCCTGTTGCAGGTCTGGCTCTGGTCTCTTGTCTCCTACTCCTCTCTTTCCTTTTATTTTCCAAAAATCTAACACTACATAGCACAGCTCAGGCTGACCTTGAACTCCTTATGTAACCCAATGTATTCCAAGATGGCCTTTGACTCCCCTGCCTCAGGTTTCCAACTACTCAGGTCCACACCCAGCTATAATTTTTAAAAAACTTTTAAAAAAGATTTATTTTATGTGTATGAATGTTTTGCCTATATGTATGCATGTGTATCATGGGCACACCATGCCTATGGAGGCCAGAAGAGGGCACACTTGGAACGTGAGATGGTTGTGAGATGCCATGTGGGAACAGATCCCAGGTCCTCTGCAAAAGCAGCAAGTGCTCTTAACCACTGAGCCACCTCTCCAATCCGTCCTTTTTTGGGGACAGGATCTCAAGCGTCCCAGACTGGCCTCCAATTCACTATGCAGCCAAGGATGATCCTGAACTTTTGATCCTCTTGCTTCCTCCTGAGTGCCAGGATTACAGGCGCAGGCGACCACCATGCCTAGTTTATGAGGTACTGGGGATCAAACCCAGGGCTGCATGCATCCAAGGCACTCACTCTACCAGCTGAGCTGCTTCTCAAGCCTCTGTTTGCCCTTCTGAGACAGGTCCTGCTACATATCAGGACCTGGCCTTGAACTACCTCTCACCTCAGCCTCCCGAGGGGCTGGCATTACAGATCTGTACCACCAGGCAGGCTTGGCTACCCTCTGATGGATCCCTAACTCGATGACATCATTGAGAAGTGATGGAAAGCAGAAGTGGGGTCTGGGTGAAGCAGAGGCAGTGTGCTTTTGCCATGTCAGTGGGGACACGCTTTCAAGGGGTACTTCTTTTTTTTTTAATTTTAAAAAATTCCATTCATTTATTATGCATGTGGGAGGAGGGGCACAGTGCCATAGTTCATACATGGGGGTCAGAGGACAACTTGCAGTAATCAGTTCTCTTGCTTCACCATGTGGGTCTCAGAGAGTGAACCCAGGTCATCAGACTTGGTGGCAAGTGCCTTTACCTGCTGAGCCATCTTGCTGTCCCTTGAAAGGTATTTCTTGTTTTTATTTTTATTTATTTTTGGTCTTTTTGAGACAGGGTCTCCCTGTAGCTCCAGCTGTTCTGGAACTATGTAGACCAGGCTGGCCTTGAACTCACAGAGATCCACCTGCCTCTGCCTCCTGAGTGCTGGGATTAAAGCGTGTGCCACCACGCCCGGCTTCTTTGTAGGCCCAGCTGGCCTGGAACTAGCTATGTAGACCAGGCTGGCCTTGAACTCAAAGAGATTTGCCTGCCCCTGCCTCCCAAGTGCTGGGACTAAAGGTGTATGAAGGGTATGTCTTGTCCCTGGCCCCTTCCTGTCTGTCTCGCTGCTTTCTGGCCACCACGAGGTGAGCAGCTTAGGTGTCACATGCTTCTGTTCTGATGTTCACCGCAGCTCAGAAACAATGGAGCTGGCTGACAACAAAATGAAGCCTCTGAAACTGTAAGCCAAAATAAACCTTTCCTCTTTGGGTTGATTTTTTCAGACATATTGTCATAGCAATGGTGGACACCTGTACTCCCAGCACTCAGGAGGCTGAGGCAGGAACATTGTGAGTTCAAGGATAACCTTGATACATAGTAATCTTGAAAATAAATAAAAACCCTTTTTGGGATATTGCAAATATCTCAGGCCTATGGCTCACATTTTCTTTCCCTAAATAGTGTCTTATGAGGGAAAGCTTGATTTTGATTATTTCTACTTACCAACCTGTTAGTGCTGCCCATCTCCTATTCATGAAAGGAATAAAATTTGTTTTATTTTCTCTTTTCTGTTTGCAGTGCTGAGGCTGGAACTTTTATGCATACTACGTAAGTGCCCTGTCACCCCCAGCCTAAGGTTCATTTTCTTTCAATGGATCCAGGGTCATTTGCATATTGAAAAGACCATCATTCCCCTTGCTCTGCACCCACATCACAGATCAGATGACCAGAGTTTCGGCTATGGTCTGAAAATTCTGCAGGTGACAGGAACCCTAGCTGAGAACAGCCTGGAGCTGCTTCCTCCTGGTACCCAGAACAGTAGGGGCTAGGCTTTAGCGCCTCTTGTTGCCCAGTCATGCCCTTTTTCCAAGTCCAGGCTACCATCACATCTTCCTGGGATGACCCCAGTGGCTTAACACTTTTTCTTGCCTCCTCCAACCTCCTAACAGCATCCTGAGTGATCTCTGTGAAATTAAGTGCCCCACTGGACTCTGGGCCCAGGCACACCACCCCTGTCCCCATCTCTCCCAAGTGGGCTCCAGCCACACTGGCTTTCTGTCTATCACACTTCGGGCTCCCCTGCCCTCCTCCAGACCCTCAATACTCACCTCGTCTGTCAGAAATACCCCTTCTCTTCTCCAGGCTCTAACTGTTCCTCAGGCGTCCGTGTTGCTTTCTCAGGTGGGCCTTCCTGAAGCCAGATGCTCCACTCTGCTCTCTCCTAAGCCCAGCCTGTGACTTAATTCCCCTGTGTGATCAGTCACTAGCCCCTAAGCTCTGAGCAGGCAGGGTCTGTACCATCTGGTCTGTCCCTGTGCCCGGGCTGGCACAGGGTGGCCACTGGGGAGGGGGATGGCCTGTCTTTACCTTTACAGAGGAACTGCTGCACGGCCGCAGTACCCGCACCGCATAGCTCCGGCAGGGGATAGACCATGGACGAGGCGTCGAGACTCAGCGTCTGTGGACACAGGTGCCCTTCTTTACTGTGTGAGTCACTTCACTGCCCAAGTGGTTAGCAGCCACTTGACTTCACCGTCGATCTGAGTGTTCACTGTCTCCCCTTCCTATAAGATGTGTCCAGCAAGCAGAGGTGGCCACACCTAAAGCACATTAATCCCACCTGGGTAACATGAGTAAAGTGCGGTGGCTTGAGAGTGTGGACTCTGGGCCACACTACCAGGTATGGTGGCTACAAGTCACGTGTGACCATTTACATGTCTTGCATGTGCATGTGGAAGCCAGAGGACACCCCTGGGTGTTGTTCCTCGGGCACCATTCACCTTGCTTTTTGAGACAGGGTTTCTTACTGGCCTGGAACTTGCCAAGAAGGCCAGGAAGCCCTGGAGATCTGCCTGTCTCTGCCATCCCAGTACTGGGATGATGGGCACACACCACCATGCCTGGCTTTTTTTTGCATGGGTTCTGGGGATTAAAACCTAGCTTCTTTTACAAGCACTTTAGCCACCAAGCAATCTCCCCAGCCTTAATTTTTTTTTTTTGAAACAGGGTCTCCCTGTAGCCCCAGCTGACCTGGAGCTCACTATGTAGACCAGGCTGGCCTCGAACTCACAGAGATCCTCCTGTCGCTGCCTCCCAAATGCTGGGATTAAAGGCATGTGCCACCACGTCTGGCTATTTTTTTTATTTTCATTTTTTTTGAGACAGGATGTTGTTATGTAGTCCAGGCTGAATGGGAGTTGTGATCTTCCTGCCTCTCCCTACCAAGTGTTGAGCTATGTGTGTACTGCCATGCTTGGCTTTCATTTAAATTTTAATCAGTTAAGGTCACACCTTGGCTGTACCAGCTACATTTCCATGGCTTTAGTAGCCAGTGGCTCCTGGGTGCTAGCATAGATGACAAGACGTTTCCGTTACCTGTGGGAGGAGAGGCCCTAGATTCTGCTGCTTGAGAGGTACTCAGTCTGGCTTTAAATTCCAGCCCAGCAGACTGTTTCCTCGGTGTCACACAAGTATAGACTCCCTGACTTGGCAGCCTGTGTGGTGGGTAACAGATGATGGATGGCATTTGAATGGAGCTGGCACACAGTATGGCCTCATTAAGACTGTCTGTGTTCAGGGCTGGAGAGATGGTTCAGCAGTCAAGAGCACTGACTGCTCTTGCAGAGGACCCGGGTTTGATTCCCAGCACCCACACGGCGGCTACGAACCGTCCTTAACTCCAGTTCCAGGGGAATCTGAAGCCCTCTTCTGACCTCCGCGACACTACACGACATGGGTGCATTCATATACATGCAGGCAATACACTCATACACATAAAATAAAAATAATAAAGAAAATATTTTTTCAAATATATGTTTTATTTATTTTATGTGTATGAGTGTTATGCCTGCATGTGTGTAAGTGCACCCATATTGTGCAATGCCCGAGGAGGTCAGAAGAGGGTGTCAGATCCCCTGGAACTGGAGTTACAGACAGTTGTTAGTCACCATGCGGGTGCTGGGACTTGAACTCGGGTCCCCTGTAAGAGCAGTCAGTGCTCTTAACTGCCGAACCATCTCTCCAGACCCTTAAAGAGTTTTTTAAGAGAATGGGCCCCCTATCCCAAGTCTCTCCTGCAGTGCTGCGGATCAACATGCTAGGCAAGTGCTCCCCCACTGAGCCACATCCCCATTCCCCTAGGGCTCTTAGCAAAAGTCTCCGGGCGGCTTCAGGGCCAAGACGTGCACTGAGCTATGCTGACACCTGGTAGCTGCCAATCACCTGCAGCTACTTAAATATGAATTAACTAAGATTCAATTACACCATTTAGTTCCTTGGTCTCACCAGCCACATTTCAAATGCTCAAGAGCCACATGTGGTTAAGGACCATGGATTTGGGGAGCACAGTCACTGGACATTCCTATCATCACAGGACAGAGCAGAGAGTGGGGCCAAGCTGGCTTTTCTCTTGCTGTGCCAAGCACCCTATGCTTTTTGAGGCTACTGCCTGACAAGGGACACTAGATCCTGATGTCAATTACTTCCCTGTCCTGTCTCTGCTCACCTGCTGCCCCCCAGATACCCCTACTCTACAGATTTACTTGACAAAGGTGATTCACTGACAGAACCTGGGGGCTCTGAATGCTGATTCAAATGACAGATAAGTGTCCATTCCAGACCCTGAGTTTTACAAAGGTGATGAGCACAGGGTTGGCTCCAGAGTGCTTGATGTCCAATCCCATCTATGACCAGCTGTGCAGCCTTGGAAAGTCCAATAACCTGCTGGTACCCCAGTTTCTACACACCTCACAAGATCTTTGTGAGGATTCAGAGAGCTAACATAGGCATAGTCTTAGAAAGAGCCAGGAGAGGTGGGGATATGGCTCAGTTGGTAGAGTGCTTGCCCAGTACACAGGAAGTGCTGGGTTTGATCCCTACACCCTATAAACTGGGTATGGTGGCATATGTCTGTAATCCAGGCACTCTAGAGGCAGAGGCAGAGGCAGAGGCAGAAGGATTGTTTAAGGCCAGCCTGGGCTCCATGAGACCCTGTCTCAAATAAAAATCCAATCAACCAACCAACCAATCAACCAACCAACCAACCAGACAAACAAACAAGAACTGTGCCAGAGGATAGAGGGATAACTCAGGGGTTAACAGTCTTCTTACAGAGGACCCAGGTTCAGTTCCCAGCACCCACATGGAGACTAAAGACCATCAGCAACTCTAGTTCCAGGGGATCCAATGCCCTCTTTCTGGACTCCATGGGCATTGTATGACATGGGTGCACTTACATACATGCAGGCAAAACACTCATACACGCTTAAAAAAAAAAAAAAAAAAAAAAAAAACCAGTGCCAGATGAGCATAAGCTACCTTATTCTTACTGATGGCCCAATGTTCCCAAGGGGGACGCCTGGTGCTGGTGTCCGTGGTGGGCTGAGCTGTGTCACTGTTTTACACACTGAAGTCCTAACCCCTGGACTCCAGAATGTGGCTACAGTTTGGATGAGGCTGGACCCTAATCCAATCTGGCTGATGCCCTTTGAAGAAGAGATCTGGATGTAGACATGCACAGAAGGCAGAAGATGAGGTGACAGGGAAGACAGGTCACCGCAGAGAAGGAGCCTCAAAAGGAACCAACTCTGTCCACACCTTGAACTGCCCAGCTCTTCTGTGAGCTGCCTGCTCTGGGGTGCTTGGTTACATCAGCCTGAGAGGACTCAAACAGGGTCCTGGGAGGGGCTAACCCAACCCTGCCACCCTGAGCTCTAATGAGGCACAGTTTCTGCCCTGCCACACTGAAGCCTAGGTAACCCCCCAACCCCTGCATCACCAAAGTGACATGACAAGCGCTCACATGTCGGGCTCTCTGAGCTCCAAGGACCACAGCACCTGGCACTCTGGGACCAGGACAGTCAGTCACTCAGGAATGGGGGTGACAGTCCAGAGGAAGCACTGGAGAGACATCCCCCCAACACACACTCTCAGCTTACCTCCAGGGTCCGCACATGTGCCAGGATCTGCGGCAGTCTCTGAATCTCATTTTCACTGATATCGAGGGTGCGTAGGCTTCGCAGCTCGCCCAAGGTATCCGGAAGTTCCTTCAGCTTATTGTCTGGAGAGACCCAAACAGCAGAACTCAGCACCCCAAAGCCCCATGGCCACTGCCTGACACTCATGGGACTTTGGGAGCTCCTGTAACCATCGGCTAGCTGAGTCACGTCAGACTCCTGACTTTCCCTCCCCATGCTGCAGTTTCACATCTGCAACATGGCACCATTTTCTTATCAGTCACATGTTACGTTTGGATGAGCTGAGGCATTCTGTGCAGTGGTCAGGGTGCAGCGAGGCACGTCAGCTCAGCGGGGGAGGGATGCTGTGTGGCATCTTGGCTGGCCACCTCCTCACTGGGCGGTCTGAGCAGGTCACAGCCGTGAGCTTCAGTTTTCCCATGTCAGCTGGGCAAACCTCTGTCCTCTGCCTGTGTCTTCAGGCAGCCAGTCACATTGTTCGACAGGCTAGTGCAGTTCATTGAATGTCATGTGCCACTCAGAGGCCCTGCGGTGGCTCCTTTTCCTGTCTTGCCCGGCAGTCTACTCTCTTCCCATCACTTGGCCTGGCTGTCACTGCTGCCTGTCTTGTGCCCCACAAGTCTCTGACTCTGCCACAAGAACTCTGCCTCTTGTTGCCATGGAGACAGACTGATAGAGCAGGAGGTCAGTCTGGCTTAGAATATCACCCTCACATTCAGTGGCTCCCAGGCAGAGCACCCTGTGGTTGTTGAAAGGTCAGGAGCTGGCCTGACCCTGGAGCTGCCCGAGGACTGCATGGACAGGTGTTTGTGGCCCCTTACCTTTCACATTGAGGGTCTGGAGCTGGAGCAGGTTCCCAATAGAGCGTGGGAGATACGTCAGTTGGTTCCTTTCCACATTCAAAACCTAAGGAAGAAAGGAAGGACATGAGGGACCCTGCGGACAGCAGTGACTGGCTGTATTCCTCAGTCCTGAGTCATCCAGGGACTATTCCTGCCTTCACTTCTTCCTGCAGCCCCCTGAGGCAGGTATATGCTGTTCTGGTCCCATCTAAGAGGTGAGAAAACTGAGGCTGAGAGGGGTTGAGTCGTGCTCAAGAGAGCAAGACCAAGTCCTTGGACCTGTACCTGGCTGAGGTTCTACCATTTATATTGCCACAGAATGGCCAAGCGAACCAATGGGGAGGGAGAAGGGCTTGTCAGGGCCAGGTAAGGCAGCACGGGCTGCTTTTCCACTGCTGAGTGAAAGGAACTGAGTCACTAAAAGGCACTTCCATTGTATCAGGTCTCAAGGCCAGAGTTGGGAGAGCTGGGATTAGAACCTGGGTTCAATGGACTCCTAAGATAGTACTCTGTCCAGGATATAACAACAGTAAGTAAGCCAGGCCAACAGGCTACCATAGCTATTAAATATTGATACAAAGGAAAGCTAAGTGGCCATTGAAAAGAGGCAGATAAATACTTGATGAACCAGGTATAATGTACCATCAGGTTTCCAAAGACAGCCAGTGCAATTCTATAAAAGTATCATATAAAAAGTCCCCCAAGATCTTTTTCAGGGTATATACTGTGGCTCCAGGTGGGGCCAGTCACCAGTGTCTGCTGCTGTTCCCTGTGTGACCTTGAGCAAGTTACAGTCCTTGCTCTGAGCCTCAGTTTTGTCTTCCATAATATGCAGTAACGTCACCTATGTGGTGGGGTATTTGTGACCATTCCTCAGGCCTCTCCAGGGCCAAGCAGTGAGCTGGGCCACAGGATCCCCCTTGAAGGTGTCCTTTCAGCAGGCCACTGGATGCATAATTAACAATGATGAACTGGAGACACTGCCCTTGGGAAATACCACCCAGGAGAGAGGAATTCATTTAAGACAGGGAGATTAGGGGAGAGACATCTGGGCTCAGGGGTGAAGGATGAGCCTTGCAGATAGCCCCAGGAAGAAAGAGCCGGGGTGGAAGTCAGGTAGGGACAGACAACAGAGGGTTTGAAGAAGTAACCACGGTGAGCAAAGGAGAGAGAGAGAGGAGGCTAGAAAAACAGCCAGGACCCATAGTATAAGACTTTTGTTTGTATTTTTTGAGCAGCTTGGGATGGAACCCCAGGTATATGCTCTACCACTGAGCCACACCCCAGCCTACATGGGCCCTGGTGAAGAACGTGGACTCTCCATCTACACACTGGGGGAGCCACTCTGTCCTCCAACACTGTCTGAGCCTTGAAGGGTGGTTGGGAGCCTCTGTAAGTGATGCAAGGGACAGGCCTAGCTCAGGGCTGGCCCCAAGTGAGCACTTGGTCAACGCAGGGGTGGCTACAGGCAAGGCAGCAGGGAGCCAGCAGAGTGTGTAATCTGTCCTTAGAAAAAAAATTTTTTTTGATTGATTTATTTTTATTTTATGTGCATGAATGTTATGCCTGCATGTGTGTAAGTGTACCGGTGTGTCACACAGAGGACAGAAGAGAGAACTGGATCCCCTGGACCTGGAGTTACGGACAGTTGTTAGCTGCCATGTGGGTACTGCAATTCGAACCTGGGTCTTCTGCAAGAACAGCCAGTGCTCTTAACTGCTGAGTCATCTCTCCAGTCCCACAATTTGTCTTTTAAAAGATGGAAAGTCACTGGGTGCTTTTAGGGGGCAGGGTAGCGAGGGAAGAAACCCATGATGAAATCATATATGCCAAAAACCTAGTAGAGAGACTCTCACGGCCCAGGCTGTGAGGGCGAGGCACTGCATGGAGGCAGCCTGTGCCCACTGGCAAGAGCACATGAGACTGTCCTGTCATCAGAGGTGGGCTGCTCTGTCCTGCAGCCTTACCTGCAGGGCTGTCAGCTGACCGATGTCATCAGGAAGGACTGTAAGCTGGTTGTCATGGAGATCCAGAACCTGCAGGGGAAACACACCCCTCAGACCTCAGGATCCCAGATTCCAGGGCATCTAGGTGACAAGGCCACCCCAGGTCTCAGGTATTGTCTCACAAACCCAACCCTTCCCTGACTCATCACTCAGTATTGAATACTAATATAATGCATGAGCTAGAGTGTGATCTGGTGGTAGGGCATGTACTCAGTTACCTATGAGGCTCTTCGTATCTGTCCCCAGCATAGACAAACAGAAACACACACACACACACACACACACACACACACACACACCTATTAAAATAAAAATAAAGAAATGGAAAAAAATGAATAAAAAAAGCATGCAGTGCTGGCATAGTGGTACATGACTTTAATCCCAATACTCAGGAGGCAGATGGATCTCTCTGAGATCGAGGCCAACCTGGTCTGGTCTACGTAGGGAGTTCTAGGCCAGCTGGGGCTACAGAAAGACCTTATCTCAAAAAGCACAACCAACTGGGACTGGAGAGACGGCTCAGCAGTTAAGAGCACTGGCTGCTCTTGCAGAAGACCCAGGTTCAGTTCTCAGCACCCACATGGTGGCTAACAACCATCCTAAATAAATTAAAAAAAAAAACCAAACCAACCAATCAACCAATCAACAACAGAACCCTATCCCCACCCTGCCTTGGTCACCTCCTCACCATGAAGAGCACCTGGGGTGCATGGACACGCTGCCAGGCTTCACTGTTAGTTTAGGTGCCAGTTCTGCTCCCACAAGCTCCACCTCCACGCAGAACAACCCTGAGGCGACACCGTAACTATACTATGATGCTACTCAGTCCCTGTCCTGCCGGGAAATCCTCCCAGGTCACTGAGGTGTCAATGTTGACACCTTCTTATCTGGGCCTTGAATTTAGGATCTAGTTTTCTACCTGGAGTGGAGACCTCAGAGGGCAGGGCCTGGGGCTGGTTCCCTTTGCTACTCTATGCCATGCATAACTCACAAAAGTGACCGGTAAACCACAGGGATCAAACTGCACATTGACCATCTAGGAGGCATACTATGCATTTTAACAGAGGAGGTTCAAGGTGGGTGGAGAAGCCCAGATGCTACCTAGAGCACCAAAGAGTTCCTGAGGCCGAGGCCTGGAGAGGGCCCAGTACCTTGATGGTGGCAAGGCTCAGGAGGCTGCAGGATTTGGGAAGCAGGGAGGTGAGGTGGTTTGTGTGCACAATCAACACCTGTGAGGCAAAAATGAGAGCAGCGTCAGGCTGCAGAAGAGCAAAGGGCAGGGAAGGTTAAAGGCAAAGTGAAGGGCTTGACAGGGCACATGGCAGGCTTGCCATCTTGGTAGGTACATCTTTGCTTAACCAGACACACAAAGGGAGATACTGTTAGAATCAAGGGAACCTCTGTAGCTCCAGCTGTCCTGGAACTCACTATGTAGACCAGGCTGGCCTTGAACTCACAGAGATCTGCCTGCCTCTGCCTCCCAAGTACTAGGACTAAAGGTGTGCACCACGACACCTCGTTCAAAGAATCTTCTGAATGTGACTCAGATGACTATATTATCAGGAATTGTAAGGGTGAAAGGGACTCAGGAGGTCTAACTCTACCTTCCATTCTGAGACGGGATTAGCTGCTCTGAGCTTAGCCTCCCCTGGCTTTAGGCTCTTCATGGAAAAAAGCAAGTACTAAGTACCTGCCCTTGAGGCCGGCCATGATGATTGGCAAGGGAACTAGACAACAGGGTTCAGCCCAGAGCTGGCATGTGGTCTAGAGCTCAACCTGTGGCTATTTTTGTTAGACATCAGCTGCTTTATACCTCAGGGACAAAGGGTTCACCAGGCTGTTGGCAGGGACACTTTTTACCTTTCTGTCTAGATCTGTCACTTGTGCACACGCACCCATCTGTACCCAAAGCTACAATGCTTTTCTGGAAGCTTTCATCCCCTTTTAACCTCTGTTGGGTGGCCGGAATTAACTGTTTTACTTTTGTTTGTTTGTTTGTCTTTTTGAGACAGGGTCTCCCTGTAGCCCCAGCTGACCTGGAACTTGCTATGTAGACCAGGGTGGCCTTGCTGTTTTCTCTATTTACGACATTTGACACCGGAGTGTGGGGGTGGGGTGGGAGGGTGGTAATAAGTGTGTACTGTAAGACAGGCATTCTGTTCCACTGTCTTCATCTAATTCACACAATACCACCAAGAGTGTCAATATCTTCATCCCACAGATGAAGAAACTGAGATGTCAGAGTTTAAGGACATTACCTAAGACATGAAGCCGGTGACAGGCAGAGCCAGGAGTGGTCAAGCATTGCCTAACCCTGGAGTCTACTCCCCTAATTGTGACAATCCCTACCGCAGGCCCAAAAGGTAAGAGCCAGAGAGACAGGAGGTGGCCATGCAAGGACAGTGGTTACTCCAAGTCCCATGGGGCTTTCCCCAAGCAAACATGCAGTAAGTGATTCTCTGAAAATGAAGACTCAGCTTACCTTCTTCTGCAGAACTTTGCAGGTTGCAAAAGCCCCAAATGGAATCTAAGACAAGACAGAGAAGGGTGAGCGTCTCCTCTTCTGCCAGCTTCTCAGAAATGGCATTGGTGTGAGGGAGATGCGTGGGAGGTGAGGACCTGAAGAACAGCACAAAGCCAGGACAGGGCTGGGGAAGAATGGCGCTGGGGGTGTGGTCAGCCCTCCTCCAATCAGCTGGTTGGAGACTGCAGGGTCCTGCCCTAGCCTTCCTATCCTGTGCCCATCAGGAACCTTGTCAGGGGCTGGAGAATCCTCACTCTTCCAGCACTCTAGGGATCTGTGGATGTTTTTCCTCTCCTCCATCCCACAGTACTGGGAACTGAACCCAGGGCCTTTTACGTGCTAGACAGGCCTTCCCTCCAAGCTTCATCACCAACTCCCCTCCCTCCAAGCTTCATCACCAACTCCCCTCCCTCCAAGCTTCATCACCAACTCCCTTTTTCTGCCTTTTTTTCTTGAGACAGCGTTTCACTATGGAGTCCAGGTTGGCCTCAAACTCATGATACTCCTACTTCTGCCTCTTGAATGCTGGGAGTAAAGGCACGCTCCACCATGCCTGGCTCATTTTCTTTTCTAAGATTTCCAAAAAATATATATATGTTGTTAGCTGGGCGTGGTGGCGCATGCCTGTAGTCCCAGCACTTGGGAGGCAGAGGCATACAGATCTTTGTGAGTTCAAGGCCAGCCTGGTCTAATAGTGCGTTCCAGAACAGCTGGGGCTTACAGGGAGACCCTGCTTCAAAAAGACAGAAAAAAAAAGTGTGTATGTGTGTGTCTGTGTGTACATGTGAGTACATGCATGAGTTCACATGCCCACAAAGGGGAGAAGAGGGTGCTGGATCCCTTAGAGTTATAGGTGGTTGTGAGCTGGCCAATGTGGGAACCAAACTTGGTTTCTCTCCAAGAGCAGCACATCTTAAGTGCTGGGTCATCCTGCTAGCTCCCCTGACTCATTTTCTAACTAGGCTCCTTGATTTTTGGAGATTATGCAGAGGTCAAGGGTCACCATATTTCTTGTAGACAAGGGTGCAATCTAAGGAAACATTTCTTGACTAGTGCTTCTGGCCGTGCCTGCGTGTGCTTGTGTGTGTACGTATGAATATACAAGCACATGCGCGTGTGTGTGTGTGTGTGTGAATACCCAATGGTACCTGTGTAGGCCAGAGTTTAATAATATTGGATGTCTTTTTTGCTTCTTTTAGAGACAGAGTCTCACTATGTAGCACAGACTGGTCTGGAACTCGCTATGCACACTAATCTACCTTTTTTGTTTTTTGGTCTTTTTGAGACAGGGTCTCCCTGTAGCCCCAGCTGTCCTGGAACTCACTATGTAGACCAGGCTAGCCTTGAACTCACACAGATCCGCCTGCCTCTGCCTCCTGAGTGCTGGGATTAAAGGCGTGTTCTACCTTATGTTTTTGAGGCAAGGCATATCACTGAACTTGGAACTGACCGATTCAGCTAGACCAGTTGCCAGTGAGTCCCAGGACTCTCAGGACCTCATGCACAATTGGCAAACACTTTACTGACTGAGTCATCTCCCCAGACCTACTTCTAGTATTTTTAAAGTCTCAGTCCACATTTGTCTTTCTTAGGGACAGAAGATCTAAGAAAAGAGAACAAATGAAACTCACAGCCCTCACCCTACCCTGTTTACCTCTGAGAGCTCACATTTAGAGATGTCAAGAATGTCATCGGCTCCAGCTTCTTTTGCCTAAAAAGAAAAATAATTTTTAAAATTAACAAATTTGCTTTTTGAGACAAGGTCTCATATAGCCTCAAACTCACTATGTAGCTGAGGCTGGCCTTGAACTCCTGATCTTCCTGCATCCTAACACTTACTTGGGAGGCAGAGGCAGGCGGATCTCTGTGAGTTCAAGGCCAGCCTGTTCTACATAGTGAGTTCCAAGCTGGGGCTACTGGGAGACCCTGTCTCCAAAAGATCAAAAAGAAAAAAAAAAAAAGCCAAAAAACCATTTTGGGGGCTGGAGAGATGGCTCAGTGGTTAAGAGCACTGACTGCTCTCTCAGAGGACCCGGTTTCAATTCCCAGCCCCCACATGGCAGCTACGAACCCATCCTTAACTCCAGTTCCAGGGAAATCTGAAGCCCTCTTCTGACCTCGGAGGCATTGCATGACATGGTGCACTCACATACATGCAGGTAATACACTCATACACATAACATAAAAATAATATTTTTAAAAAAACCATTTTGCTGGTTGATTTTGGGGGAAGTTTGATACATCTCTATATTACAACTGAGCCACTAATCTTGTAGCTTTAAACGTTAGCTGGTTTCTTTCACGGTGCTGCTGAGGACTCAGCTCTTTCTATACAGGTTCAAGAGAAAGGCTTTTTGAAAACTTTGCAAAGCCCTTCTGTATATTTATAAAAGCTCTGTCCACTCTTGATGCTTTCATATTCACCAAGTTTATCTTCTTAAGATTAGTGGCGAATGGTTTTGTTTTCTATCTTCAAGTTCTTTTTGGCTGATTTTATGAAATACATTCCTGGACATCTGCCCTTTTAATTTGTTCTTGGCTGCTGGACTGGAGACCGAATGTGGAGGCTCAGGCTCCAGGTGATGCCATCTGCAAGCACCGCTGTTTTTGCTGTTTTGAGACAGGGTCTTACTCTGTAGCCGAGGTTAACCTGGAAAGTCACTATATAGCCCTGGTTGACCTTCAACTTGTGACAATCTTCTTAAGTGCTGGGATTACAGGGATGAACCACCATGCCTATGCCCAAGAATTATTATTTTTTTAATTATTTTTATTTTATGTGTATGTATGTATTGCTTGCATGTAGGTAAGTGCACCCATGCTGCGCAATGCCCATGGAGGACATAAGAGGCTGTCGGAGCCCATGGAACTGGAGTTGTGGACAGCTGCTAGCTGCCATGAGGGTGCTGGGATTCGAACCCAAGTCTTCTGTAAGAACAGTCACTGTTCTTAACCACTGAGCCATTATCTCTCCAGCCCCTCAAGAATTATTTTTAAAAAATATTTATTTCAATTTTGTGTACATATGTGGGTATGTGTGCATGGGTCCAGGTGTCCATGAAGGTCAGATGCAGAGCCCTGTGAAGTTGGAGTTATATACAGGTAGTTGTGAGCCTCCTGACATGAGCACTGGGAACTGAACTCAAGTCCTCTGGAAGAGCAGTATAGATTCTTAACTGCTAAGCTATCTTTCTAGTCCCCCCCCCAAATTTTTTTTGCTATTATTTATTTATTTATTTATTTAGGTCTTTTTGAGACAGGGTTTCCCTGTAGCCCCAGCTGGCCTGGAACTCACTATGTAGACCAGGCTGGCCTTGAACTCCAGGGGTCCACCCGCCTCTGCCTCCTGAGTGCTGGGATTAAAGGCATGCGCCACCATGCCTGGCCTGCTTTTATTTTTATGTGTTTGCATGTATTGTATACACGTATGCAAGTGTGCCCGTGTTGTGCAATGCCTGCAGAAAACAGAAGAGGGTGTTGGATCCCCTGGAACTGGAGTTATGGATGATTGTTAGCTGGCATGTGGGTGCTGGAATTCAAACCTGGTCCTCTGTAAGAACAGCCTGTGCTCTTAACTGCTGAGTTATCTGTCCAGCACCACCCCCCAATATTTTTTAAAGAAGCATTCAAGTAAAACGTCCTCATCATGTGGCCAAACCAAGGAAAGATACACAGAAGTAAGGAGTTGGAAGGGACCACAACCATTGTCTGGGTCCACTGGTCCATTCAGCAAGTGGCCCGATGGCCACCTGAGGTCCAGTAGGGAAAAGAAACCAGTAAGTAGTGCCGAGTACTCAGGAGTTGAGGGAAGCACACTCTCAGGGATGGGAAGCCAGAGGGGAGGGAACAGTGTAGAACCTATTTAGGGGGCAGAGAAGGAATCCAGAAAGAGCCAGAAAATGTACCATGCCTTACCAGACACATCTGGTACTCCAGGCGTTTCCGAGCCTCCTCGCTGGGTTTCCGCTTCCGGAAAAAGAGTGGCATCTTCTCTTTCCCCAGAATGCTCTTCAGGACACTGGGGTGGGGGAGAGAAGTCAGCACCAGGAAATTTGTCCTGGCTTCTGACACTACGGACAGGTAGCACAGTAACATAGGTAGGTGGACTGTGAGCTCATGGTAGGTCTGTCTGCCTTGTTCATCAGGGCCCTGAGCCGTCAGTGGTGCTCAACACTCTGTTGTTTGTTGATGAAATAATCACAGGATTGGATAGAAAAATCAGAAAAGCAGGCCAAGTGCCCAGAGCTTGGCCTACATTTACCCCCAACCCACTGTGAGGTGTTGGCATCATCTTCCTGATGATGGGCCTGTCTGGCTCTCCTCCATCTAAGGGAAGCCCCTGGAAGTGCCTTCCAAGGATGCTTTTTTATTTGTTTGTTATTGATTTTTGTGGTACTGGGGACTGAACCCAGGGCCTCATTCATGCTAGGCAAGCACTCCACCACTGAGCTACATTCCTCCCTCCCCCCCTTTTTTTGCTGTCTTACTATGTAGCCGTGGCTGGCCTCAAGCTCACAAAGATCTACCTGCCTCTGTCACCCAAGTGCTGGGACTAAAGGCATGCCACATCACACCCAGCCTTTCAAGGATGCTCTTTGAGGACCCTGACAGACTCAGCTGATGGGTCACCTCTAGCCCTGGACACCTTGTCAGAATGGCATCAGTAAGACCAACCAAGCCAGCCATGAGTTGAGGAGATCAATCATGTCAAAACCAAAGATCTATGAATCAAATTTATGAATTAAATACAAATTAAAATGCAATCTTCAGGCACCTTGCCTCCCTTACAGCTATTATTTCACTTGATTCACACCACAGCCCTGTTTATAGTGAAGAATCTGATGTTCATTAAGTCCAGTGATCTGGTTACATGGTCTATGTAGCAGCAAAACCAGCCCGACATGCTCATCTTTCAAGTCCTGATCCTGTGCAGTTTGCCCAGTTCCTTGGTGTTCACAGATTAGTATACTTAATCATTTTGTCCTGAACTCAGAAGCTGGGTGCCCATTCCCTGCCCAGTGTCTGTAACTGCCAGTGTTGTATAAGAGCCAGGAACAGGCAGGAAGAAATCACCTAGAGGAAGGGTGTGATTAATAACATGGGCCTTGACATCTAAGATCCAAGACCTGTACCACTTTGGTTCACCTCTCAGAGTCTGTTTCCTCATCTGTATTACGGTGTAATGCTACTAATCTGGGGCTCTGTATACAGGACCCAGTGATTTCATATATGTGAAACCCGAGCCACAGAACTGGGCACCACAGAAAGCGCAATAAAGAAATCCACAAAATGCCACACACCTGACAAACTGATTCCAGGACTACTACAGGGGTTAGGGGGGGAAAGAACTACAGGGTGGTGCAGTTGAAGACACACAGCTGGTCCTCAGATATTACAGGTCTCTGCTCCAGGGTGTGGGCTATCTGGGAGGCCTGCAGAGCCAGTATGGGCTCTTTCCTCACCCACCAACTTGCATGTGTGGGGAATGGCCTACAAAGAGCCCTCCTCCATCTCACCTTGATAGCTAGTGCTTACTCTTCTGGTTCCTAATGACTAGCCCTCCCTCACCCCTATTCCCAAAATCTAGACTTCCCAACACCCCCACCCCGTGACCATGGCTCCCTGGTTTTTCCCAACACGATTCTTTCCAATCTGTCTTCCTATGTCCACGATGTCTATAACTCCCTCCCCGATTTCCAGCTCGGATAGGGAGAACCACACCCATCTTTCTATGGCAGCTCTGGACGGTGTCTGACCTGGCTTTGTGGATGGAGCGGTCCACCGGTGTTCCGATTCTGGAGTGGCCTCAAGGCAGGCTGCTCACCCTAAAGACTTTGGTCATAGATTAGGGGTTGCAGACGACGGCACCTGCAGGCGGAGGGGCAGTCGGGTCTCCTCCTAACTCAGGAACTGGGGACCGAAACTCTTGAATCTCAGAAAGTCATGCAGACCAGGATGACGACGTCTTGGGACTCTGGAAACCAAGGAATTGCATTATGAAGAGTCTGGATTTAGACCTGAATAGTTCGTTTGGGTAACTAACATGCAACACATCACAAAAGAGAAGAGGGCTGGGGTAGCAATGGCACTGGAGTCCTGGAATCCGGGTGAGATCTTTTAGGGGAAGGGCAGGGCCCTGGGCTGGGAGCCGGAGACCCCAGAGCTGCCCGCGGGGTAAGGGAACGTGGGTAACTGCAGGACCCAGAACCTCAAGACCAGCCCCTCCTCTCTGACTGCCCCGGCCTAAGTGCTCCCACAGCCCCTTCCGAATCCCTGGCTTACCCAAAGACCGGGCTCTCTAGCCGCCGGTGGCAGGCGTCTGCCCATAAAAAAGACGGCGACAAGGGCGTCGCCAGCGATTGGGCGGAGCCAGTGGGTCTCGCGAGAGCTGAGCTTTCCTGCCTATATCCGGCGTAGTCGGGGCCTCTTTTGGCCTTTTGGCTTTCGGCGCGGAGGAGGCTTAGGTGCAACTTTCTTCGGTCGTCCCGAATCCGGGTTCATCCGACACCAGCCGCCTCCATCATGCCGCCCAAGTTCGACCCCAACGAGATCAAAGTCGGTGCGTGCCCTCGCCGCGGTTGGGGCTGCCGATGGACCTCCGGGGCCCGGCCCCGGCGGGTGTCCCTTGCTGGGCCTCAGCTTCCTCATGTAGACGGGGAGGGAGGACCGGACCGCCCTGCAGCCCGGCCCTACGCCCGAGGGTAAGGCCTGTCCCCGGGAGGTCTCCGGCCGGGTCTGCGGGACGTGGCGGCGCCTTCCGGAAAGGGGCGCAGGCCTAGCGTGCAGCCAGGACCACGCGGCGAGGGCGGCGCGGCCCGTTCTGCCCGGGTTCTAATTCTGCCTTTTCCCAGTCTATCTGAGGTGCACCGGAGGCGAAGTCGGCGCCACGTCCGCCTTGGCCCCCAAGATCGGGCCCCTGGGTCTGGTAAGTCGTTCCTGCCAGGGCCATTTGCCTACTTGAGATGCGAGAATCCGGACTGTGCTTTGTGCAGACAGGGCTGCGCTCGGGGGACCGCCATTGCTACCTCCGAGTAGACTTGAGCCGCTGAACTGGCTGGAACTATGTCATGGGTTCTGTTTGAAAAGCCGGCCTGGCACCTTGTATTTTTCTTGAATAAAACATGCCTGCCTTTAAAAAGCCAGATGCACTTAGTTGTATGTGTGTGGGCACGTGCTGAGAGCGCAGGTCAGCCTTGGCAGACAGTGCCCTTTACCCAGAGCCTCTTTGGGTGATGGGCTTGGCTGATTAGATGGGGAAGAGTGGGCAAAAGGCATTTCCAGCTTTGAATGCAAACCGGGTGGTGGTCAGGCCCCCTCTACCCATCACTAGCTTGTGTCCTTCGTGCCCGGTTTTATACCCTGCTGTTTTTGCATGCTGATACCTAGACTGATGCCCTGTCCCACGTACCTTTTTTCGCTTAGTCTTGCCTATCCAGGATCTTAAATGTGCTTCTTGGCCTTAGCCACCACATAAAGGGGGATACCCCCTTCTCCCAGTAGGTCTCAATGGGACTCTACCATTAAAGCCCTTGTAGGTGACCCATTCATTTAGCAGTGCTGAAAAACTTTCCTCACCAGCCCTAAAGCTTGGTTTAATTAGTGAGTGATGGGGCCCCCTTGTGGCCAAGGCTTGAACTTAACTGGACAAAACTTGAGTCTCATCTTCCCCCTTTATACTAAGGTGAGGTGGTCCCTTAATTGGCCAGATGTTTGTTCTGGAAGGGGAAGGCTTGGGGTGCTGGGCTGGTTTTAAGGCTGTGGTTCTAATTAGAGTGACTCATGTTTACATTTATTTCTTCAGTCTCCAAAAAAAGTTGGTGATGACATTGCCAAGGCAACCGGGGATTGGAAAGGTCTGAGGATTACAGTGAAACTGACTATTCAGAACAGACAGGCCCAGGTATTTCTTTATTGTCTTTATGAGACTGCTTTAAAGTGCTTATTCGTATGAGTGCCTGTATGTAAGTGTACCACGTGAATGTAATGCCCATAGAGGCCAGAAGAGGGTGGTAGATCCCCTAGAACTGGGGCTACACCCAGTTGTTAGCTGCCACGTGGGTCCTGGGAACTGACCCTGGCTCCTCTGCAAGAGCAATTAGTGCTCTTAACCCCTGAGCCATCTATTGTATATGGGAGTTAGTAGGTAGCATGTTCACATGTGCCATGGTGTACATGTGGAGGTGGAGGCCTTTCTGTGTCCCAGGGTTCCCAGGTAGTCAAGCTTTGCAGCAGGTACTTTGCCAACTGAGCCATCTTGTTGGCCCTAGGTATGTTTTAAGTTGTGGACCATAACCATGTGCAGTAAGGCCAGTGTCTGGCCACACCCTGTGAGGGCTGACAGCCATGGCAATATTGGGAGTTGGAGGTGGGGAAGGGCATACTCATCAAGAATCTCCTGCAGATTGAGGTCGTGCCTTCTGCCTCTGCCCTGATCATCAAAGCCCTCAAGGAGCCACCAAGAGACAGAAAGAAGCAGAAAAACAGTGAGTTGGCCTTCTGACTGTCCTTCTGTGTGGTTTTACTAGTGGTTTGTGCTTTTGCTACTGTATAGTCACTGCTACGTGGCTATAGTTTCCCTTTATTTATTTATTTTTGGTCTTTTTGAGATAGGGTCTTCCTGTAACCCCAGCTGGCCTGGAACTCTATGTAGATCAGGCTGGCCTTGAACTCACAAAGATTCTCCTGCCTTTGTCTAGCACTTGGGATTAAAGGCAAGCCCATCTGTGTAGCTTCCCTTTGAAACTACATGGCATGGGGATCAATTAAGGCCCTTGTGTGGAGGAGGTCCTCCAATGGGAAAGGAAATGGTGTCAGGGAAAGCCTGTGAATAATGGCTTGGAGGGTTGGTTGACACTGGACCCCAGGAATTGAAGCCTGTTTCTTAGCCCTAAAATAGAGTGTTAGGGTGGCTGGTGGAGACTTGATTCGCCCTTAGCCACCCGCCACTGCACCTGACCAGTTCTTGTTGGCTGGTGCAATCCAGTGGTGAGCTGAAAGTGAGCCCCAGCTTTTAGGAAACAGGGTTGTCCTACATGTGGATGACTCTGTGCCGAAAGCATGGGAACAGCCTACGAATGGGTGGAAAGCTGCCCTGTGATCTTGTCTCTGTGTACTAAAACTATTGTTTCTTTCTTGCAGTTAAGCACAGTGGAAATATCAGTTTTGATGAGATTGTCAACATTGCCCGACAGATGCGGCACCGGTCCTTGGCCAGAGAACTTTCTGGTAAGAGCACCGAATAATATTCTGCTGTTGAAAGTTCAAGATTGGGGTTGGGCATCAGGCAGCTCAGGGAGAGCCCCATTTCCTTTTGTGGCCTGTTGTGAGACTGTCTCATCTGTGCTGGGGCCCTTGCTGAGTCTACTGTTGATTGTAGGAACTATTAAAGAGATCCTGGGTACTGCACAGTCTGTGGGCTGCAATGTGGATGGTCGTCACCCTCATGACATCATAGATGACATCAACAGTGGTGCAGTGGAATGCCCAGCTGTAAGTGACTTCTGGGTGTTTCCCTTGGTTCTAAGAGGGAAGCAGGTGGGCTGGGGATAGCCATGGAATCTTAACTTGCCCTTTGTTGATTAAGGTCTTTTTTTTTTTTCTTTCCCACAGAGTTAAGCAAGAGAAACTATTTCAATAAAAGATGATCTGACAACCTGTAGGACTCTTTCTTGTTCAGAGGGAATTGGCTCATGTGGGGTATTCAGGGTAACAATTGGGTAACCTGTTGTGTAGGACAGTCTCAGGATATGTGGAGAAGGTGCTTTTCATTTTTGTGTTTGGTCCTGCTTGAAGAGGCCTGAGATTGCTATCAGGAATCTTCCTCAGTTGCTCTGCCGTTCTTGAGACAGCTGGCAAATGCAGCTTGTTCTGGGAACCCTATCTCTGCCCTTTTTGCTGGAATTACCGGCGGCTCTACACCTGGTGTTCTGGGGGTCCCAACTCTGGTTACTATAATCTCCACAGGTGAGCCATTCTCCAGTTTTTCCTCGCTTGTCCTGACTTGGGTCAGCCACTCCTTGATATTCTAGCATCTTCATATCCAGAGTTTCTGCCAGGTGATCAGGAATTGATAGATTTTTCTCTGAATATCCATGTAATTATCAAGCTGGAAACAAATGGGCTATGGCATTAAGTTCTGTATTTAATATAGGGTTAATAAGCTCTGGTTATACAGTGGAATATTGCCTACATTCAGTGAGCATCTGCTTGCCAGCCTTTGTCACTGATGGCAAACAAATATTGCTTGTGGACTGAATTTAACCCATTTACTTCCATTTCTTTCCTGCCAAATTCCACTGAAATTATATTGGTGTATGTATGGGAGCAAATTTCTATTGCAATTGACTGCAGGGAGGTGGTATGTATGTGTTGAGAGGAGACTGAGCTACTGCCCTATAGTTAACCCTAAATATGGACAATCAAACAGGATATATCAGATGAACCATATTAAGAGAAATGGATCAAGATGATTAGATTCACTCAAGGAAATCAAAGTAGGGAACATAACTTTTTTTAAGCAAATGACAGCATATATACACCTTTAATCTTAGCACTGACGCAGGTAGATCTCTTGAGTTTAAGGCCATCCTGGTCTCCATAGTGAATCCAGGCTAGCTGTGAGTACAGAGACCCCCAAAAAGAAAAGGGCAAATGACAAGCAGGCCTCTGACATCGTGGGAATAGAAAATGGTCCAACAACTTGGGAAAAATGAAGCATCCTCTAAAATCCACTCTACAGGCCTGTTCTGTGATGGCCCCAAACTAGCTTAATGCCCAAGGAATAGCACTCAACAGCAAAGAATGAAAGGATGAACCCCAGAAGGGTCACACTTGATTATGCCAAGCACAAGGTCCCCAAACTATATTACGTGCATTTTTGTGAAATTCTGTAAAAGGCACGACAGCATAGGTCACTTTCTCAGGGCCACAGCTGCAGGGAGGCTATACAACAAAGGGATGACATGTCCTGTGCTGGAGTGGTGACTCAGACACAAATTACCAGGTTTTATTTATGTAAATAATGGATTTTTCAAGTGAAAATACATATCCTTGAGAAGTTATGGAAGGCATGTAAGAATAAGGGCTGGGGAGAGGCTGTGCAAGCATGAGGACATCAGTTTGCGATCCCAGCACTCACTGTCAGGCATGTCATGGGTCTGTTACCCTGGAGGCATGTTGGACAGGCAGATCTCTAGAGCTCACTGAGCAGACAGTAGCTATGGTGAGCGCTGGGCTGAGACTGTCTCAAGGTGGAATGTAGCAGAGGAAGGTATTTGACATCACTCTCTGCCTCCATATGCATGCGTGCACACACTGTACACGCACATACATACATGCAATAATTAAATAACAAAATGGGGGTATTTTAGTGTTAAGAAATAACATGGGACAAAGAAGAGTCATTTCCTAATGATAAGGGCCAAAATCAGTAGAAATATCCCACCTAAGAACAGCTCTGAAGTGCAGAGCCAGACAAACCCACATCAGGTGGGAGCTCCACCCTCCCCTAAGGAACTGACAGCTGGGTGTGGTGATCCCTTTGATCCTAGCACTTGGGAGGCAGAGGCAGGCAGATCTCTTGAGCCTGGTCTACAGAGTTCCAGGATGGCTGGGGTTACAGGGAGACCCTGTGTTAAAAAGACCAAAAAACAAAACAAAAAAAACACACAAAAAACCTGACACAGTAAGTGGGTAGGAGTTTGAAGGCCTTTGCGTTCACTTGACTGTGCCTTAGGATGCCCAGATAGCTGGTTCAGTATTTTGGGTGTTTCCATGAGGGTATTTTCAGATGAAACTTTTGGTTCACAGACCCAATGAAGCAGATTGTCTTCTCTGTGTGGGTGGGCCTCATTCCATCAGCTGACAACCTGAATAGAGCCAGAGGGCCCTGCTTGCCTGCCTGCAGCTGAGACTCCATCTTTCCTGCCTGCAGCTGAGACTCCATCTTTCCTGCCTTAAGAACCCACTGGAAATGGGCACTTCCTGAGCCTGCTTGCCTTTGGCCTGGAAGCATGCTGCTGTCAGCATTCCGGGCCACCAGCTTGTTGCTCAAAATTCTCAGGACTGCTCAGCCACCATGATCACGTGAGCCACGTCCTTATAGCAAATCTCTGTACACCCTTTGTCTCTCTCCACCCCACATACCCACCATGGGTTTTGTTTCTCTGGAGAGCCTGCCTCATATGGACCTGGACCACACAACTGACATTCAAAAAACTGCACCTCACAAATGCAGAACATGTTTTCAAGTGTAGACAGATCTTCACTTAACCAGGGGAGAACTTGCTCTTATAATGTCTCAATAAATTGAAAAGTTTCAAAATTATTTTAAAACATGATTGGCAAAGCAAAACATTTCATAGAAGATGAAGTTACAAAACAATCCCAGAACAAACAGCAGACACTAAAGATGTGTGAGAGGGGTGTGGTGGCCACACATACATATGCATATACCAAACCCCACACAGAAATAAGAATTTGGGAGGTGTGACTCTGGTGGACTGTTTGCTTAGAAGGCACCAAGCTCCAAATTCGAGCCCCAGCACTGGCTAGAAGAGAGACTGCAGGGAAAAACCACTGCTTCAAAGTGACAATAAAATAGTCTTTCAGGCATTTAGGGATGATCTCCCTCACATTTGTGCTGAGAAAAATTACTGGGACTAGGGCACGGTAACCCTGTGAAGGTGTGTTCTAGCAAATAAAAATGTATTCTTAAAATGTTATTTTTGTTTTGCTGGGCATGGTGGTGCACGCCTTTAATCCCAACACTTGGGAGGCAGGTGGATCTCTGTGAGTTCAAGGCCAGCCTGGTCTACATAGTGAGTTCCAGGACAGCTGGGGCCACAGGGAGACCCTGTCTCAAAAAGACCAAAAAAAAAAAAGTGTTATTTTTATTTTATGTGTGTTTTGCCTGCATGTAAGTGCACCTGTGTTGTGTGTGCCTGTGGAGGCCAGAAGAGTGCATCGGATCCCTGGAACTGGAGTTAATGATGGTTGGGTGCTGGGAACCAAACTGATTCTTTGCAAGAGTAGCCAGTGCTCTTAACTGCTGATCCATTTCTCCAGCCCCAATATTTCAGTAAATTAAATGAAATCCAAGGAACAAGGCATGAAACCCAAGAATCAATGGGATTAGCCTAACAGGTCCCTGAAATGAAAACCTAAGATAACAGCTTCTCAGTCAGAAAGAACAGACTGGCACTTGGGAGGCTGAGGCAGGAGAATTGTCATGTGCTCTAGGCTGGCCTGGGATACAGTGTGAGACACTGTCTCAAAAAAAAAAAAAAAAAAAAAAAAAAAGAATTCCACCAACAGCTAATGTATTACAAAGGAGAAAGACTGTTGGAACCACTGCTCTGTTTGAACTCTGCTGAAGGCAGGCATAGCTACTTAACCATGTGTAGCCATCACCAGCCATCAGTGTCTGTGATGGCAGAGCCAGATAGGCAGGTTCCGAAGTGCAGTGTGCCTTATGTTAAATTACATAAAAACTATGCCTTTATACTCTTGAGTGAACATCTGCTCTATCCCTTGCAAACAGGCCACATTTTGTTAATTGTTTCCTGAGCTCCTGCAGAGAAATGCCCCTTTCTTCCTGAATACCTGCTTAAGAGTATACCTTGCCAGGCCTGGTGGCGCACGCCTTTAATCCCAGCCCTTGGGAGGCAGAGGCAGGTGGATCTGTGTGAGTTCAAGACCAGCCTGGGCTACACAGTGAGTTCCGGAACAGCTGGGACTACAGGGAAATCTTGTCTCAAAAAGACCAAAAAAAAAAAAAAAGTATACCTTATCCATGCTAATAAAAGTAGAAGTTAGAGACTTTTCCTTTTTCGAAGGAAAGGAAGCTTGCCGGTCCCCAGCTTTCTTTAATGTTAAAATGTCTCATGTAATATGTTTTTCTGTACCGCACTGTTCCTCTTCTGTGTCCACACCACTGAGCTGCACAGGACGTAGCATTTAAGTTACAAGATGGTGAGCAAGGGCTTTTTTTTTTGTCTTTTTGAGACAGGGTCTCCTTGTAGCCCCAGCTGTCCTGGAACTCACTATGTAGACCAGGCTGGCCTTGAACTCACACAAATCCACCTGCCTCTGCCTCCCAAGTGCTGGGACTAAAGACATGCGCCACCACGCCTGGCAAGGGCATGTTTCTTAGGAAGTAAAAAAAACTCAATATATGTCTTAAATAAGCAAACCTAAACCTGCTATTTTGAATAATTGACACAGTGTAAGTGTGGGTGTCAGGAGAGATCTTTTATGATGGAACCACAATCTTTTTTTTTTTGTCTTTTTGAGACAAGGTCTCCCTGTAGCCCCAGCTGGCCTGGAACTCACTATGTAGACCAGGCTGGCCTGGATCTCAGAGATCCTCCTGCCTCTGCTTCCTGAATGCTGGGATCAAAGGTGTGTGCCACCATGCCCAGCTAGAACCATAATCTTAACTGATGCTACCTTTGGAAAGGGGCCTGTGCAAATAAATGCACTAATATTTGTAATATGTTTAGGACAGTGCCTAGCAGATGGTTAACTACTTCAAAAATTGTTAAATCTGTTTTCTAATTGTATTACAGTAAGTATATAATAAATAAGAAGTTGTTGGGACTCAGATTTGCTTTGCTTAGCGGGGGACCTGCTGGCTTCAAGGCAGAGGGTCTGGTGGGGGACAGAGTCATAAACTCTGGGACCTGTGTCTTCCCAACAGGACAATTTATTTTAGAATTCAGATGGTTTTTAGACATCCCAAGGAACTAACAGTCATGTGGGATATGGCAGTCACATACAAAGATTTAGGGTACAAAGAAACAGGACATTTAGTCTGTTAGTTGGCGCCAGGATTCTTAAACTTTTACTCAAGGTTTTCAGTGCCCATCCAGTAATCTTTGGCCACAATGTTTTCTTTCTAAGAGCTAAAAGCATGGTGAACTTTTAGCTTTTAGCTTAGAAGTAAACCTTTAACCTGGCCTAATCTCTTAGCTAGGGATAGCTGAGTTATTTGTTCAGGGCAAGGAAATGAGCTAAGGGTTGTTGACCAAGACGCTTTCCCACAGAGCAGGGAGCCTGCACTTTTATGACCTGGCCGCTTCCTCCTGCCAGCCTAGCAGTGTTCTGCAGGACAGGGATTATCAGAGCCACTGTTTTTTTAAGTGCTCCTCCCTTTAGCAGAGAATGCAGCCTGGACCTATAAGTTTTAGGCTCACCTCACCCTAGGGCCTGGCATCCTGGTTTCCTACAAGAAGTAATTTATAGAAGATTTCTGGGTCTACTAAAGTCAAACAGATTTTTATTTTCTGAAACTCAAAATTTGATGGCTAACGACCCAGGAAACTGAGCCCAAGACAGGGATTAAGCTGGCTGACTCCAAGAAGGTAAATGCTCAGGTGCTCTGGTCAGGGCCTAGGAGGGCTTGGTTTATGGGAACCTAACCACCTCACACAGAGACCTGGTTTCTGAGTCATCTCTATTTGGCCAAGTTCTTTCTGATCATGTGGGAGGGGCAGGCAGGTGCCTGGGGCCCAGTCTCCATTTCCACAGTATCTCCAGTCAGAACACTGGAGCCAAGAGCCTTTATCCTACCTCCGTTGTGTTAGTGTTATGAAGAGACATGTGGAGGGCTGAGCACAGGACTGCTCAGCTCCTCTGGGATGTTTCCCAGTGTGCAGGGGCAGCAGACTGGACCTAGAGGATGATGAATCTCATGCTCTAGATCTGGGCCATGAGAGTTGGACAAGAAGAGCTGATGCCCAGGCTGTGGTCCTGGTTTCCCTGAGCCTGAGAAGTCTGGGGCTTCAGGTTCGGATGGAGGTCAGACTCAGGTCTAGGCCACTCCACTCCCTCTGAGATCCAAAGCCAGCTCAGCTCAGGGTTGCCACTTACAGAAAGGGGCTGTCACCGTCCCTCAAAATGGGCTGTGATTTGTTCTAGAGTCCTGCCTTTGGTCTCAGGGACAAAGGACAAAGTGAAAAAGACACTGAGGATGCAGAAGGCGGCAGCCAGCCAGAAGGCTCCGTAGGGCCTGAGGATCTCCTGCAGAGAGAGGAAATGCCATGTGTGGAGGAGGCCAGGGGTCAGGAGGCCCTGTGCAATCAGGGAACGCTATGACCCCAGCCTGCCCTGCTTATACCAGGCCTGTCATGGCTGCTCTGAGGTCAGGAATGTATTAGCAGGGGACATGTGGGTTCCTGGGTACCCAAGGCCTGCCCCTACTGCACCCCCCATCCTGTGTCCTACCTCCTTACAGCTTTGGTCCCACCCTCCAAAGTCCCCGCCCCTGCGAATTTTATGTGTGGTGAGCAGCCCCACTTCCGTTAAGAGTCTGTGACCCTGCAGGAGCCAGAGCAAGGCCCTGGATTCCCACATCCCACATGAGGGGCAGGCAGGGGCCACATCTGTCTACCTTGAGAAGAAAACAGTGTTGAACCAAGCTGACATGTCCTTCAACTAAGAGGAAGGTCCTGCTACCTTCTACCTTTAACCAAGGAAAATGTTCAAAGAAGGCTAAGCAGCTCACAAGGCCACACAGCAAGGAAGTAGCTGTGTGCATGGGTGCCATGTATGTGGCACCAGGCCTGTCAATCCTTCCTATATAGACCGCTGGCTCCTGTTCTATGTCCCTAACATTCACTAATGGGAAAGGCCAGCCATTCTGTCTGCAGGGATTGAAGACATGGTTCCTCACCTGCCCTAGCCTGTCTGGCTCCCTGTTACCCCTGAGATGGCCAGGTCCCAGGCATGGGGAGTTTGTGGGGGCGGTGCTCAGTCTACACTCAAGGTTACAGACCTGGAATCTCTGGCAATGAAAGTAATTTTACAAAGCTCTTCTCTACTGACCACACACAGGGATGGCATGGGCCTGTACTTACCATGATGCTGCTGAACTCCTTTGTAACCAGAAAGGCCATGAGCCAGTTGGTGAGGACACAGACACCTGTAGCCACACCCTTCACGTGCAGAGGAAAGATCTCCGACATGAGGAGCCAGGGGATGGGCCCCCAGCCCATTGCAAAGCCTGGGGAGCAAGGCAGAGTCATGAGGGGAGGCAGGCTGGGTTCCTGGGCTAGCTGCATGCTGGCTCATGGGTCTTAGGGTTGCTTGCTGCCAGCTCCTCACTGTGCTGGGAGGCCTTGGGCCAGGCCCTTCCCTTCTTAGGCATTACACCTGCATTCTAGGACAAGGATGAGGCCTGCTTGCAGGTCGTCAATGGGGATTAAGTGAAAGGGTTTAGCTCAGTGCCCAGCACATGGTCAGAGCCACCTAAATAGTGGTCAGGCTCTTTAAGGCAGACAGACAAAGCTAGGCTTGAAGCTGAGCACTGCAGAACTTGGCATGGAAGGGTACAGGAATAATGGCAACCATTCAGCCTCCCCTGGTCCCTTCTCACCAGCGATGAAGAGGCACATGCTACCCACAGCCAGCCAGGCCAGCCCTACGTGGACATCCACAGGCTCTGTAGAGATGGGCGCGAAGAGGTTCATGTGGGAGGAGTTGCTGGGGCCACTCTGAGTCAGCTTGAAGTAGGTGCCAAAGGCGCTCATGCTGAACACCATGACCATACCTGTGGGTAGGGCTTGGGCTAGGAAGGATGCCAGTGGGCATGGCCTAGAGGACTGTGTGCTACTCTGAGAGAGGCTCCTGGGAGAAGCCAGCTTGGCATTCAGGCACCTTGGCCCTGGGAACCCCTGACTGGACAGCACTCTTGCCCCATTTAGACCTCAGAGCCTCTCTACCTGCACCTACAGAAGCAGGAGCAGAATAGCAGTGTTCAGTGCACCCATACACTGGCCTTTTCAGGGGCCAAAGCTAGTGCCCAGGACCTGACCTTACCACAGCCTTTGTCACAGCCCTGAGAGGCACTGTTATCTCCACCTCAGAGTTGGAAACAGGTTTGAAGAGAAACAGTCTCCTGCTCAAAAGAACCAAAGGCTTCCAAGTTGCCCCACCTCCCTGGCTCTTTCCCTCTGTGAGCTGGGAAGGCTGGGCCCCACTCCCTTAAGGCCTCACCTGACAAGGCCAGCAGGAGCCTCCGCCCTGCTCTGTCCATGATGAGGGCTGCCACAGCTGTGAACAGCACCTGGATGACACCCACAGTGACAGAGGCCAGGCTGCTGTCCTGGGAGAAGAGAAGGCTGGTTAGAAGGCCAGCTAGAGACAAGTCCCTCCCTCTCTCTCTAGCCCTGAGCTGGGTGACAAAGTCTGAGGGCTAAAGAAGCCAATTCACACACATGGCATCTGGATGAGGCAGCTGGGCAGAGGTCTCTTACCCTGAACTTGGCCTCTTCAAAGATGGTCTCAGCATAGAACATGATGGCATTGACCCCTGACAGCTGCTGGAAGACCATGAGCGAAATGCCGATGATGAGGGGCTTGTAGACACCGGGGCGCCTCAGCAGGGCCAGCTGAAAGCCCTGCTATGGAGATGCTCATTAGTGCTGTTCTCTACCCTGTCCCAAAGACCTGTCTGTGAGCCTCATCTTGCTCTTCCTACCCCACCTGTAGCCTTGGGTGTGCAGACAAGCCCCTGTGGCCTCTCATGTGAGGTGAGTGGTCCCAACCCCCCATGGCACTTCCTGACTAGTTGGGAAGCCACAGACTCCAGCACTTGGGTAAAGAATTCTGTTCTGGCCTGGTGTGGTGTTGTGCACCTTTAATCCCAGCACTCAGGAGGCAGAGGCAGACAGATTTCTGTGAGTTCAAGTCCAGCCTGGTCTACATAGTGAGTTCCAGGCCAGCTGGGGCTATAGGATGACCCTGTCTCAAAAAGACCCCCCCCCAAAAAAAAAAGTCTGAGTCCCAAATACTTCAAGTGTATTGAGGCCTGGCTGCAACTCTCTCTCAGCACTCTGCAGAGCCTCCTCAGCATCACCGAGGTAAGGACCCGTTTTACAGATTAGGAAACTCAGGCCACACAAGTGGAAAGTGGCAGAGTCCGTGTGACGCTGAACAGTCTTCCCTGCCCTACAATTCCCATTACATCCAGGCCTCATCTGCTTCTCTGTCCTAAGCCTTTCTCTCCTTAGGACAGTAGGAACAAGGCTCAAATTTTGCTGGTCATGGCTAGAACCAGCTAAGTGGGGCTCCAGATGGCCCCACCCCTAAAGTGTGTGGCCTTGGAATGGGCTATGCTTTCTGTCTGGCTCCTAGCTTCTCACCTGGTGCTCAGCCCCGATGGGGGGCTCTTCCCAGCCCTGCTCAGAGCCCCACAGGAAGTGCATAGCAGCCATGGCCTCCTGGTGCTGGTGCTGAGTCAGGAGGAAGCGAGGGGTCTCTGGCATGAAGCACATGAGCAGCAGCATGAAGGTGGGAGGCACACAGCCCAGCACAGCCAGCCAGCGCCACTCCAGGACCCATCCTGCGGGTGGGGACAGACGTCAGAGCCAGGGCCAGCCAGCCAAGTACATGGGCCAGCCCCAGGGACTTGGCTCCAGTGGTGGGTACCTCAATGCCTCTGCCCAGCTATCTTCATGTTTAACCACACTTCTGCCACTGTTCAGACATACACCACAGGCAAGCTACAGCAGTGTGGCAGTACATTGTTGGTGACACCTACTCATTGAAATGTATTTTGGTTAATGACTGACTGCATGTACAACAGTGGCCTCATAGAATTAGAACAGCTGAAAAATTCCCATCACCGAGCTATGTCTTGTAGCCACGGTAACATGTCACAATGTGTGTGTGGTAATGCTGGTGTAAACCAAACACTGTGCTGCCACTTGCACAGAAGCTCAGCACACAACTAACAGTGCTGCAAAATACTTGGCAATGAGAAGCAGCAGCTGTGGGGGTTTTATGTATTCACGATATTATACTTTAAAATTAACTTCAGGGGCTAGAGAGATGGCTCAGTGGTTAAGAGCACTGTTCTTGCAGAAGACCCGGGTTCGAATCCCAGCACCCACATGGCAGCTAATAACTGTCCGTAACTCCAGTTCCAGGGGATCTGACAGTCTCTTCTGTCCTCCGAGGGCATTGTATGACACGGGTGCACTTACCTACATGCAGGCAATACATGCATACACATAAAATAAAAATAATAAAAATTAACCAGTTTATTCACTTGTGTGCATGTGTAGGGGCAGAGGACGGTGCTCAGTGTCCTGCTCTATCACTCTCCCTTATTCCCTACAAAGAGTCTTTCATTGACTGAATCTGGACCTAGACTAGAAGCTAGCTCCTGTCTCCACCCACCACAGTGCTCGGATTAAAGCCACATGTGATCATACCTAGCTTTCTATGTGCATTCTGGAGATTTGAACTCAGGTCCTCATGCTTGCAAAGCAAGGGCTTTTATTTGCTGAGCCATCCCCAAAGCCGTATATTACACATTATATTATGATTTCACTTAAAAAATTTTTTTTTCACTTTTTTTTTTCTGTCTTTTTTGAGACAGGTTCTCCCTGTAGCTTTTTTTACTTTTAAAAATTTTATTATAGCCAGGTGTGGTGGTGCATGTCTTTAATCCCAGCACTTGGGAGGCAGAGGCAGGCAGATCTCTGTGAGTTCGAGGCCAGCCTGGTCTACATAGTGAGTTCCAGGACAGCTGGGGCTACAGGGGGAACCTGTCTCAAAAAGATAAAAAAAAAATTTTTTTTTACTACATTAAAATTTTTGGGGGGTGGGAGGGGCTGAAGAGATAGTTGAGCCATTAAGAGCACTTGCTATTCCAGAGAATACAGGTTTGATTCCCAAGACCCACATGGCAGCTAACAACTGTCCATAACTCCAGTCCCAGGGGATCTGACACCCTCCATGGGCACTGCATGACACAGGTGAACTTATATACACGCAGGCAAAACAATTGTACACACAAAAATAAATATACCCCAGCTGACCTGGAACTCACTATGTAGATCAGGCTGGCCTTGAACTCACAGAGATCTGCCTGCCTCTGCCTCCCAAGTGCTGGGTTTAAAGGCGTGCACCACCCCACCCGGTTATAGTTATAATTTTTATTTATGTGTATAAGTGTATTGCCTACATGTATACAAGTGTACTCATGTCATGCAACACCCATAGAGACCAGAAGAGGGTGTTGGATCCCACAGAACAGAGTAATGGATGGTTGTTAGCTCCATGTGGGTGCTGGGAAGTGAACCCAGATCCTCTGCAAGATCAGCCCATGCTCTTAGGTGCTGAGCTATCTCTTTAGCCCCTTTAATTAAAAAAAAAAAGGTGTGTGTGTCTGTGTGTCTGTGTGTGTGTGTGTCTGTGTGTGTGTGTGTGTGTGTGTGTGTGTGCTATATTCTATAGAAAAGTATGCATGTTAACAGCACCAGCCTCAGACACCTTGTGTGTACCTAGGCTGCATCAAGAGCTCTCGTCTGGTGACCTAGACCTAGCTTTTGGAAGGACTCTGGTATGTTCACACAATGACAAAACTGTCTAGCAACAGCTCTCAGAATGCCCCTGTTGTACTGAAGTTTGACTGTAAGTGGCCATGAAAAGGAATAAGCAGCAGGCTGTCTCCGCGGAAGGACACAGCGCCATTTGTGCAAGGGGTGGGAGGTGGGAGAGATGCGCACAAGCAGCACAGGCCACACACACGCACGCACATGTGTGTGCTTTCTGGAGGAACAGGGACAGAGAGGGGAGATATCTCAATGGACCTGTTTTCCCTCTGGTACTCCTTCATTTGAATGGTTATCAAAGTCTAAATGATATATGTAAAGTGGCCACATGGCTATTAATAGGGATCAAGACAGTGTGCACATCTACCTGCCAGGTAGGCCAAGAGGATGCCAATGACAACCATCAGCTGCACACAGGAGCCGAGCAGTCCTCTGACTGCTGGGTAAGCGATTTCTGAGATATAGACCTGGGGGTAAAGACAAGACTTTACTCTTTAAACTGAAAGGTCTAATTGCTCTGCTATAGGTCAGCAGAGACCGCCCTTCCCCATAATGATCTGCAGGTGTTAAAGAGGCTCATGGGTAACAACTTGTGGAGCAAGAAGAGAGAAGAGGGCATAGAGTTTCCCTACATTTTCTTTTTTTCCAGAAGGGTTTTGTGTAGCTCAGGCTGGCCTCCAACTAGCTGAGGATAATCTTCAGCTCCTGACTCTCCTGCATTCACCTCTCAAGTTCTGGAATTAGAGGCATCTGCCACCAGCCTGACACCCGTTTAATAAGCACAAATGAGAGTAAAAGATGGAAGACCACAGACTTGTGTGGGGTCCACTGTGAAGATCCAGGGGGTGTGCTCCCCAGGATCCTCCTTGATAAAATGTAGACTCTGAGGCAGGTCTGCAGTGGGGCCCAGGCTTCTCCTTTGCTGGAGGGCTCTAGGGGCCACCCAGGATGTTGAAGGTGTCCAGCCCAATTCTACGAAAGGCTTCCATCATTTATTTCTTCTAAGCTCAGTGGTCACTAGAGTCTCATCCATACTTCATACCTTGTGCTAGCCCAGTAAAAAGAGAAAATTATTTACAGTCTGCAGATTTCCAGCCTTCCGCTTCTTTAGCAGCTCCCTGCCTCCAGCAAATGCAGGTCAAATTAGTGTGAGGCTCTGGAGGAGGGATGGATGGAGCTCATTCAAGTCTGTGACTACAGCTCACAGGGAGTCAGAGCCACCACTTCAACAGAGGAGGCCCAGGGATGAGCCAGTATCCCAGTAGGTGACTCAGGTGTGTGGGTTGTGGTATAAAAGGCCTTGGGTCAGGAAAGGGCTGGGGGAAAGGTCAGGAAAGGGCCACTGTGAGCAGTGAAGGGGGGTGTAGATGCCAGAAGCCCTAAGGACAATCAGAGCAGCCCTGTCCTGCCAACTTAAAAAAAAGGAACTGTAGTCATAACTGCTGACCACAAACAGTGGGCGTGAGGAATGGCTTCACCGCTGCCTGGCAGAGCAAACCCTAAGACTAGCATTGGTGTACCCAGGGCAGTGGGGGAGGTAACACCAGTTTACTCAGGAGGTGGCGGATAGGGATACTCACCGGGGCCACTAGCGAGGCGACGCCACAGGCCAGGCCGGTGAGGAGGCGGCCTGCGAGCAACATCCACACATCCTGGGCCGCGGTGATGACCGCAAAGCCGGTCACGAAGGGCACCGTGCAGAGCAGGAGGCTCAGCTTGCGCCCACGGTCCACAAGCCAGCCGCCCAGCACACCCCCTGCCGCGGCGCCCAGGGTCACGATGGCCTGGGGACAGGGCGACCGCAGGCTGAGGAGGGGGCCACCAGGGGCCGTGGTCCAAGATCGCCCTCCACCCCACGCCCGGTGACCGCAGAAGAAAGGGGCTTAAGCACTCCGGGCTGTGTGGAGTGTAGAGTGGGGGAATCCCGCGGCTGCGGGTGGTGAGGGGCCCCTGGATGCAGACAGGGAGTGGGGGGACACCGGGATGCAGGCAGGGAATGGGAGACCCTGGGGTGCGGGGAGGGAGTGGGGCACCCCTGGCTTCGGGCAGGGAGTGGAAGGACCCAGCAATAGGAGAAGGGAGGACCCCAGGGTACGGGCAGGGAGTGGGGAGACCCCTGGGTGAAACAGGAGAATGGGAGGCCCCGGGTTGCGGGTGGAGTAGGGGACCCCTGAGTTTGGACAGGAAGTGGAGGACCCATGTGTGGAGACAGAGAGGGGGCTCTGGGGTGAGGACAGGGAGTGGGGGGGACACGGGTACGAGAGGAGAAAGGGGGACCCTGGGCTGCGGGCGGAGAGTGGGGGAACCCCGGGGTGCGACAGAATGAGGGACCCTGTGCTGTCGGCAATGAGCGGGGAGGCCTCGGGCTGCAGGCTGGGAGTTGGGGTACCTCCGGGTGCGGGTAGGGAGTGGGGGGGTCCCGGGCCAGCTCACCCCGAACCAGGAGGCCGCGCTGTCGCCCAGGCGCGGGACCGGGGCCACGTCCCGCCGCAGGCTGGGGATGGCCGGGGAGCTGTAGCCGAGGGCGAAGCCGAAGCTGAGCGGGCCAAGGGCGGCGGCGAAGGCTGCGAGGAAAACGCGGCGGCCGCGAGGAGCGCTGTGGGGACAGGGCCGGGGTGAGCGGCGCCCCGGGGCGGGAGCCAGGCCAGGTCCCCGTCGCTCACCTAGCGGCCCACGGCCGCAGCAGGGGCTGGGTCTCCTCGGGGTCCTCCGGCGTCATATCGTCGGCCGCGGCTTTGCCCTCCGCCGGCTCCGACCCACGAACCGCCACCGCTTGAGAGCACGGCCACGCCAGCGATGGGGGCGGGGCCTCCGGGGAGCCAATGGGAGCGCGGGGTGGGGCGAGCTCCCGCTAGGGCCCGCCCCCATTCCAGAGCGGACCAATGGGAGCACAGAGTCGGTTACAGCCCGCGCGGGAGCCGCCCTAGGCACCCCCAGACCCGACATGGGGCCGAGCGTGTGTGGTGTGGCATAAAGGTGTCCAATTGGAGTGTGGTACCGGCCTGGAGGCGAGCCCGGAAGGATGCTCAGCACTGCGTTGGCCAATGAGGGTGGAGCGGGGGATTGGTTATTTGTTTGGTTATTTGTTGTTGGCGGTGTGTGCGTGTTTACCTGGACCTAGCCTTTATGTCTGTGTGTGTGTGTGTGTGTGTGTGTGTGTGTGTGTGTGTGTGCCTAGATCTAGTCACCGTGTGTGAGAGAGAACGGAGAGAGAGAGAGAAGACAGAGAGAGAGAGAGAGAGAGAGAGAGAGAGAGAGAGAGAGAGAGAGAAGTTAACTTGGTGCCAGGGTTTGATGTCCTTGGGGTAATTAAGGATCTTAAGATTATTTCCTCAGGATGAGCAGGCAAGTTATCTATGAAACAAAAGGAGATAGGTTGGCCTTGTAAACAGTCTGTCAGTCCAGGAAGTGACCAGTTGATAAGGCTTGAGCAAAAGCCAAGCCACCAATTTGGACCAGTTGGCCATCTTGAGGAATTTGTCTTTATGGCTTCCTTTAAGGAAGCTTATGGCTCTCCTGCAATTTACACATTCTACCAATGTGTGTGTGTGTGTGTTTGCCTGGACCTAGCCACTGTGTGTGTGTGTGTGTGTGTGTGTGTGTGTGTGTGTGTGTGTGCGTGGTTTGTGTAGGGAAGGCTATAAGAATACTCACCACTGAGCTGATGGATGAAGGGGGAGGGAGGAGACTGATTAGCTGTTGATGTTGTGTGTGCCTGGAGTTGTCTCCCAACCTAGCCTCTACCATCGGGGGTAGCAGCGGGACCTAGGTGGAGCACCTGGGCTGGACTTCCTGTCCTTAACTGTCCTCTGGTCTCTTGGCCTCACTCAGCAATCCTCTCCCAACCCCAGCACCTAGGGGCTGAGTGTCTAATCAGATGGTCCTGTTCCTCTGCTCAGCCTCTCTGAGGCTGACCCAGCATGTCTGCTGGGGGCAGCTCACCCCTGAAATTGCTGATTGTTGCGAAGACACTGCCTACTAGAGCTCTAAGGTACTGAGGATCCTGTTAGGCGAGGTCTCTTATGGGGCGGGTCGCTGGACCCCCGGCGTGGTGTGTGCGGGCACCCTGGGGTCTCCACCACACCTGGCTAATCCCAGCGTGAGTCTGGCTGCAAGCGATGTGGGGAGCGCGCCTGGGCTCCCGGGCGCACTCACTCTGGATGTGGCCCAGGGTCAGGTGTGCGTGCACTCTCCCGCCGTGGTTCTGGTCCCGCTGGCGGGCCTGGCCGGCCGCGCCTCTCTGGAGAGGGCAGGTGCGCAGACTTCTCTGATGCTGGCTGTAGCTGATAGCTACACACTTCTCTGGAGCGGAGAGCTTCCTCTGCAACTAGAGTATTATCTAGTCGGGATCCCGCCTCTATTACACCCTTGTGCCCTTCCTCAGGATTGCGGAGTTCTGGCCAGTGAACTCCACAGGGAAGAAGCACGGAGGCGGCAAAAGCTGGGGCTTCCGTGGGTGCGTAACGGAGAGTGCTCCTCTCCGGTGACATCAGGTCCCCGGTAGTAAGACCCAGGCCTCAAGGCACGGCTTAGTCTGTGTTTACTGCTTTATTGTATCTCTGCTCCTTGCTGTCCAGCTCTCTGCTGATCCAGCTTTCTGGGACCCAATCTCCAGGACCCAGTCTCTGACCTGATCTATTAAGAGAAGACTAGCATATTTATATACCATGGGGGTAGTGGTAAAAGCTTTTAGATACTTTGTGAGATATTCTATTTACATGTGGAAGTGGGTTTCTGCTAGACTATTGTCTACCTGTAAAAACCACACACAGGAAGGCATGGTATGCATAGAGCCAAAGGCCATGTTTATGTCAAGGCATCTGTGGCGGCCACTTCAAAGGGAGAGACAGGAAAGATGCCAGAAAGCACCTTGCTATGAAAAGGAGCCCGCGGCACATTCCCCGAGCTGCATGAGCTGTCCGGTGTGAAGGGGCTTCGACTTTTGCATAACAGAGGTCTCCCAACAGTCTCTCATTCTGTACGCATGACAGAGAGGGGCTTATATGATGAGTTCCACGTTCCCTCGTTACTGTAATCCTGATCCTTTAATCTATCCTTCCACCTCCCTATCAATTCAAGTAGCTAACCTGTCCACTTGTGCTAGTTGGTGATGATGAGGCTATATAAGATCTCCCCATCTCTCTTACCCAACACTTTGTGTACAGGCATTTTCAGTGGAGTGCTGCTGTAACTTCTGGAAAGAACCAGGGAGTAAGAGGCATCTAATGGTTCCCTGGGCCTTCGGTGTCCTCATCTCTAAGTTGGAAATGTGAATTATCTTCCAGGAGCATTGTGAGCAGGACCATGTATATTAAAGATCAAGCACTCAAATGCAAGCCAGTATAGTGGTTTGATCTATTGCAGTCACCCAGTTGTAGCAAGCAGCATTTTTCGATCTTGATCACAAGACTATCTGTAAAGGCAGGCAATTGCCTGACTGTGCTTCTTCAACAGCATGTTGTGCTTGGCTAATAAATTCTCATCACCGCTTTACAGTCACCTGTCCTCTTCATTCCCTCCCTTTGGACAACAGGCACTTGGTGTCTGAAGGTGAGGGCCACAGGCACCTACAAACCTGTTCTTGTCACTGGCTGGTGGTTCATAAATGTTGTCAGAAAAGCCTTCACCTGGGAATGGAGAGATGCTCAGTGGTCAAGAGCACTGGCTGCTCTTGCAAAGGGCCTGGTTTAGTTCCCAGCACCCACTTGGTGACTAACAACTATTCATGAGTCCCGTTCCGGGGGATTTGATGCCCTCTTCTGACCTCCTTGTGCATTTCATGCATGTGGTGCACCTACATACATGCAGGCAAAACATTTATACACATAAAATAAAAATTAAATAATAAAAAAAAGACTTCCGCCTTCCTTTTCTGGGCAACCTCAGGCTCTCTAGGCCTCTGATATTCTCAGCTCGGTGCTTCTTGTCCTATCATACATGGCTTTAGTTATTCTAGAATGCTCTAAATCTAACCCTGGGTCTTTCTATTTCAGCAAGAAACTTTAGAAATGACAGGAAAAACACAGGTACAAGTTCATGAAACTTATGAGCTGGTATGACATGTGAAACACCAGTCTGCAGCCAGGTATGCTGGGCACAAGCCTGATTCTTACTCAGCACTTAGGAGGTGGAAGTGGGAGAGTCAAGAGTTCCAGGCCAGCTTTGGCTACTGAAACTGTCTCACTCCCTCTTGTCCCCAGACCCCCGAATCAGAACAAGCACCAGGCAACCCCAATGGGCAGGAAGTATTTAGCCCACACCTGAGAGGCACACAGGGGAGAAGGGGGCAGAGTTCTCTGGAAATACTAGGGTTCAAATCAATGACTTTCTGAACCTCAGTTTCCTTATTTGACAAGCAGGAATAGGGGCTGGGGACATGGCTCAGTTGGTAAAATGCTTGCTGCACAAGCATGAGGACCTGAGTTTGGTCTCCAGCATCAGGTAAAAGCTGGGGATGGGGGTGCTTGTTTGTAATTCAAGCACCAGGGAGATGGAAACAAGTGGTCCCTGGGGGCCTGCTGGCCAGCCAGCCTAGCCTAACTGGTGAGGCCTCTGGATCCCAGTGAAAGATGCTGTCTCAAAGAAACAAGGTGGACAGCTCCTGAGGAACACACACCACCAGAGGTCAACCTCTGACATCTGCAACCCCCCCGGCCCCGAAAACCCAGAATCATAAACCTAATTCACAAAACTGTTGGTGTGGTTGATACAGCAGTTATTTTGTGCTCTCTCACCATATAGGAAGACATAACACAATTCAAACACCAAATGCTGCTAAGTCTATGAGCAGGCACCCTTGATTATAAACAGCCTCACCTGGGCATTCCTGAGAGCACCATCTTTGCCACTGTCCCCTCTAGTGCTAAGGGGGATCCAGGCACCTGGAGAGGAGGGGAGTCCTCCCTATGGGAGGGAGGTCACACAGTCCTTTGCACTTAAGACTTGGAGAACTATGGCCGCTTCCCCAGGGAGAAAATGGTACACTTTCTTTCCATGGGTAGTGTGGTCAAGACACAACGAAGTGGAATCATCTGCCAAAGCCAGAGGTGAATTCCCTCTATGCAAATGAAAATCCTTACAAATTATGTGACCAGAGCCGGCTTCCCTGTTCATCTCCTGCCAGGGCTGATTTTTTCACTATTTTGATTGTACAATTCACATTACTTCCTATTCATTTTGAAGAGGGAGCTGGGGGTAGGCATTTTTTATTTATTCCAAGTTAAATAATTTTTTACTTTTTTTTTCTGGTCTTTTTCAGACAGGGTCTCCTTGTAGCCCCAGCTGGCCTGGAACTCACTATGTAGGCCAGGCTGGCCTTGAACTCACAGAGATCTGACTGCCTCTGACTCCTGAGTGCTGGGATTAAAGGTATGCATCACCACGCCCATTTTTTTTATTTTTTAGGTTTATGTTTTGCCTCCATGTATGTAAATGCACTATGTGGGGGCAGTGCCCATGGAGGCCAGAAGATGGCATTGGAGCTCCTGGAATTGGAGTTTCAAAGGTTTAGCTGCCACGTGGGTGCTAGGAACTGAATCTGAGTCCTCTGCAAGGGCAGCTAGTGGTCTTAACTGCTGAGTCATCTCTCCAGCCCTGACTTACTCAAACTTTTGCTCTAAAATGACAATGAACTCTCCCATCTTTATTTCAAACAGACTGATGCATCTGTAAGAGGAAGGATAGTCACTGGGCTCCTGTGAAAGGACAAGCAGAGGCTGGAGATATAGCTCAGCATCAGAGCCCACTGCCCAGCAGGTGCCAGGCCCAAGGCCCTGCAAAATCAAAACAAAACAAAAGGAAGATCCACAAAGGGGAGGGGATCTGAAGACACTTGATGACAAGGGTGGATTAGCCTTGGCTACATTATCTTGTAGTATCAACACCAGAGCTCAGTGGTTAAGAGCACATTATGAGCACTGGTGTCCAACCCCCAGCACCCATGTCAGGAAGCTCACAATCACTTCTAACTCCAGCGCCAAGGGGATCCAATGACTCTGGTCTCTGTGGGCTCACGTGCCTATATCCCCCCGCCCCAGTTAATTAAAAATAAAAAACCCACCAAAGTATCTTTAAGACTTTGACAGGCTCCCATTTGCCTTGTTTTGGACTGAAGGGGAAGGCAGGAGGAGTGTTTGAGCTGTGTCCATTCAGCTTTCTGGGGTCTCCAGCTGGGAGCACAGCTGGGTCCCATCCCAGTGGATTCAAACAGCAACAGGGTCAACAGTGCAGAAAGAAAATGTATTTATAATAAAATTAAAAAGCAATGGCTTTTTGCTATAAAAGAAAGTATGTGACATAAGTCAAAACTGTAATGAAAAAAACAATTTCAATCTAAATCTTTAAAATCTAAGAGAGGGGTTGCAGTAAATAAGAATGAACATTTTTCGATTTATTGAAAGTTTTGATCTAAAATGTCAATGAAATCCACCACCTTTATTACAGGAGGACTGATGATTCTTGAACGGAAATAAACAAGGTGGAGAGCGATGGCACCAGACACTGGAAAGTGAGTGACCCAAATTGGCTGAGGGTGCAGGTTTGGTCCAATAGATTGCTGCCTGGCAGGAAGCCGCCTTTTGTTGAGACATGACGTTGGAGCTGTTTGAGGAGTAGAAACCTGTGTAATAAAACTAAAGATGGTGATGAGACTCGGACTCTACTTCAAGTCAATGATGTCTTCCTCCAAGGAGGCCATGAGCTGGAAGGGGCTGCTGCCCGAGCCTGGACTGCTCTCTCTGTCCACCACAGGGTCCTTGTCAGAGCTTGTCGAATGGTTACACCCCTCAGGGTTGGCTTCAGAAGGAGGAGGAGTTTCCAAGGGGCCTGATGGGATCCTGGATGAGAAAAGCCACTGTCACAAGGGTGCCAAGGGAACACTGGAACATGGCATCTTTGGTCACCGTTTCCTATTTTCTTGGGCTCAAAGTGTATCTGTCATGCCCTTCACTTCTATAGGGATGGGGTGAGGGAGGTGAAGCAGTACAGGGGAGACCCTCCCTGACATGGGCCTGCAGGGAGACACGCTGTGCTACCAGGGCAGGGGTGAGATGAAAGGCTGGGGGGACACACAGAAGGCCCTCCTGAGGCGTCATCTATTTATCATTCTAATCCAGGCACTGTCTCTCTGCCCCACATGCTCCCCTGACCTGAGGATGGACTGGCTCTCCTGCCATCACTGCAGGTGGCCCCCTCACCCATGTTCTACAGCTCCTCAGAACTATGCTAGCGCTTAACCAGTTTAACCCATCCTAGTTTCACTTCTCAGAGAGTTTGTGATTCCACAAATGCCCACTTGAGCTCACTGCCCGTGTTTTCTCTGTGCTTAGCCTGCCCATTCTTCCCTCTGCCTCAGGCCATGAGGCCCAGAGTCCCTGCTGTCCTAAGAACTGTTCTCCTAGATCCTTATCATTCTTTCTAAGCTCAGTCCTATGCCACTTCCAGAACTCTTCCTTAACCCCTTATCAAAGTGAACCAAGTACCTGCCATCCTGCCACTTTAGGCCTGGCTGTCCTGGAACTTGTTATGTAGATCAGGCTAGCCTTGAACTCACAGAGATCTACCTGCTGGGATTAAAGGTGTGCACCATCACATCTAGTTTTTAAAAACTTTTAATTTTATTTTATGCATATGAGTGCTTTGCCTGCATGTGTGTGAGTGTACCTGTGCATGCAGGGCTCACGGAGGCCAGAAGAAGGTGCACCATGTGGGTGCTGGGAATTGAACCCAGGTCCTCTGTAAGAACAGCCAGTGCTCCTAAGCATTGAGCCATCTCTCCAGTCCCATGCCTAGCTTTTTTTGTTGTTTGAGACAGAGTCTCACTTATAGTCCAGGCTGGTCTTGAACTTTCAATGAGCCTCCTGTTTCTACTTCCCAAGTGCTGGCATGACAAGTCTGACCCACCATGCCCACCCATTAACTATTTAAAAGTAATTTAATTTATTTTAAATTATGTGTATATGTGTATGTAAGTGCAGGTGTCCGCAGAGGCCAGAGGCACTGAATCCCCTGGAACAGGCCTTACAGGTGGTTGTGAGCCACCTGCCCATGGGTGCTGGGAACTGAACTCAGGTCATCTGGAAGAGCAGTAAGCGCTCTTAACCACTGAGCCATTTCTCCAGCCCCTTTACTGTCTTAAATTTCATACTACACTTGTCATGGTTGAGGTGATTTGCTTGTTTACATTATGGTCTGCCTCTCCATACTAGAATGTTGTGCTGGTTGGCTTCAGTTGTCAACTCGACACACCTGCGAAGAGGGAACCTCAGTTGATGAATTTCCTCTGTCCAGTTGGCCGTGGCCCTATCTGTGGAGCATTTTCTTGATTGCTAATTGATGGAGGAGGGCCCAGCTCACTGGGAGCAGTGCCATCTCTGGGCAGGTGGGCCTGGCCTGTATAAGAAAGGTAGCTGGGGACTGGAGAGATGGCTCAGTGGTAAGAGCACTGGTTGCTCTTGCAGAGGACCTGGGTTCGGTTGCCAGCACCCACACGGCAGCTAACAGCTGACTATAACTCCAGTTCCAGGGGATCTGACACCCTCTTCTGACCTCTGTGGGCATTGCATGACATGGGTGCACTTACATACATGCAGGTAATACATTCATACACATAAAAATAATCAAGTATTTTTTAAAAAGAGACAGGTAGCTGAGCCAGCCAGGAAACAGCATTCCTCATGGTCTCTGCTTCAGCTCCTGCCTCTGGGTTCCTGCTTTAAGGTCCTGCCTTGGCTTCCCTAGATGATGGACTGTGGCCTATAAGTCAAATAAACCCTTTCCTCCCCCAAGTTGGTTTTGGTCAGTGTCTATCCCAGCAACAGGAAAGCAAATTGATACAAATCTGAAATTGCTGAGGGCAGGGGCCCAGGCACGTGGGGGCAGAACTGAGAGTGAGGCCAGCCTCCGCCAACACGCAGGCTTATGCTTATGTGACTGACATGTCTGAGACCCTCCTCCCTGCCCAGATGGCATCACCTGAAAGCCTGCAATGCTGTAACTGCCTATCAGTCTTTCTCGATGACCTATGAACCCTCGGAAAGTACAGATGGGGGCTTGGTTACCTCCCTGTCTTACTCCACAGCTCAGTGCTGGCTTCTCCATGAATGTGTGTTGAGTCAATGAATGATGCTTGGACAGATGTCCCGTTACTCTCCACAAGGAGCATGTGTGCTGTTGCTGGAAGGACAGCAGAAGCCTTATGGGAGAGAGCAGTGTAAGTCAACCCTCATGTGTGATTCTGAACTGGGATTCTGAAGGGCACTTCCTGTTTACATGGCCCCCAGTACTGTGGAGTGGCTGTTTCCTTGTTCCTTGTGATTGTAATATGTAGTCTTGTTTTTGTACATCTTCATCAAACTAATGAGCCAAAAAAACTCTTAGGGAAGGGATCAGCGGGAGTGGGAGGGAGACCAGAGAAGGGACAGGTGTGTATGTGTGTGAATGTGGTCAAAGTACATTATGTACATGTAAAAAGTCTCTATATTATTTCTATCACATATATGATACACACACACACATGTGCTGTGTGTGCATATATAGTTTTCTCTAGCACTGAACTATGCCTCCAGCCCTTCCTTAATATATCTTAGTGAACATTTGCTTGGCTCCTGGAGACAGTGCCCTCTTGTTTCAGCCCCATCCTGGCAGCTGTCCTCTCCAGAGAGGAACTGGATGCTGACCCTGTGTGGTGCTGGCCAAAGGACCTCCTGGGCATGCTGGCATCCACAGGGCCACCACTCAAGCAGGGTCACTACTCAGGGAGGGCCACCACTCGGGTGGGGGCTGCTTGTTCTCTTTACCTGTCATTACTAGGTGACTTCCTGGTTTCTGGCTTGGGGCCTCCTTGACTTTCTTCCAACCGTTTTCCGGCTTTGGATTTGGCCCTTGGTGCTCCTTCTGACCTGGGACCACTGTCTTCAGAGAGGCCTGGGTTGCAGAGAAGAATCATAGGTCAGCAGGTCATTACCAAAGGGCTACCATATTCTTTAAATTTCTTCTGAGAGTCTCATTCTTGCACATAATGTTTTGATCGGATCACCCCCTCTACACCAATTCCTCCTATCCTCTTTTTTTTTTTAAAGATTTTAAAAAAAGGTTGGGTGTGGTGGCACACGCCTTTAATCCCAGCACTAGGGAGGCAGAGGCAGACGGATTTCTGTGAGTTCAAGGCCAGCCTGGTCTACATAGTGAGTACCAGGACAGCTGGGGCTACAGGGAGACCCTGTATCAAAAAAACAAAAACAAACAAACAAAAAAACCCAAAAACAAAGTAAACAAAGATTTTTAAAAAATTACTTATTATTTCTATTTTATATGTATGAGTGTATTGCCTGCATGTATGTGAGTGCACCCATGTCGTGCAATGCTGCAGAGGTCAGAAGAGAGCTTTGGATTCCCTTGGAACTGGAGTCAAGGATGGTCTATGGCTGCCAAGTGGGTGCTGGGAATCGAACTTGGGTCCTCTGCACGAGCAGTCAGTGCTCTTAACTGCTGAGCCATCTTTCCAGTCCCTCCTCCTGTCCTTTTTAGTTTTATTAGTATATTATTGGAAAGAAAGATGATAATATATTTTCAAATGGTTTTTCAATTACTACAAATTTTTTCTCTTCTGACTAGGAAGCATATATGCATTGCAAAGAAAACTAACAAAAACAGCTAGAGTCTCAGAAGAGTCTAGTGAAAGAGGTAAAATCCCTGGAATCCTGTAGTATTTTACAAACTGCCTGTTTTCCCTGTTAGCATGGATGGCCTGGTCAGCCTTCTGTTCCAATAAAGAGAGAACATCACTGCCACTGTTGGTGGGAAAATAGCATGCTCTTCTCTAGTACAGATGCATTATGTGTGACTTCTTTAAAAATGGCTTCTGTTTGTTTTGTCTAGTTTCAGGTTTCTATTGGTTTGGTTTTTTTTTAATTTATTATTTTTAGTTTATGTGTATGCGTGTATTGCCTGCATGTAGGTAAGTGCACCCGTGTCGTGCAATGCCCTCGGAGGACAGAAGGAGCCGGATCCCCTGGAACTGGAGTTACAGACAGTTGTTAACTGCCATGTGGGTGCTGAGAATCGAACCTGGGTCCTCTGCAAGAGCAGTCAGTACTCTTAACCACTGAGCCAACTCTCCAGCCCCACATTAAACCATCTTGATGGCTCTTAACTTGGTGGTTTTTTTTTTTAATGCTTTGAAGAATTATTATTTTTTTAATCATTTAAAAAAATTTTTTTAATAACTACATGATTAGAAGAAGCATTTCACGACAGCTGTAACATATTCAGTAACGCACTCCAGAGCAAGAGTACATCTCTTTCACAAGTGGGTGCAAGTTTCTAGGTTCACAGTTGAATTAATACAGTTATACAATATTGAACTCAGTATAAGCCCTGTATTAACTTGGTTTTTGAGGATGATGAATATCTACAGATTAAACCAGGTGGTCTATTTACACACAGAGGAAATTTACAAACCTTGGAAGCTCTTATTACCTAGCAGTTCCCTGCGGGTCCGGCTTGCTATTTCTTTGATCTCCATGCGAGACAGGGACAAGGAATGAGTGACAGGAATGGCAGCAATTCCCAGGCTGATGGAGGTGGGTGGGGTGATGACCTTGGAGACTAAGGGCGATTTCAGAGGTCGCTCAATGCTTCGGCCCACGAGGTTTCTAAGTGGAATCTTGTACAGATTTTTAGACTGGATTTCACCTGAAACAGTTTAGAAAAGATCACTAGACCTTTAGGTTCACATTACCTACAAAATGATAATTTCTTTCTTTAAAATAATTCATTTTATTACATTTATTTATTTTAGTGTGTGTGTGAGACTGTGTGTATGTGTGTGTGTGTGTGTGTGTGTGCTACTGCCTGTGTGTGTAGGTGGTAAGACAGCTTGCAGGAGTTCATTTTCTCCTTCTGCCAAAAGAAACCCAGGGGATTGAGCTCAGGTTGTCAGACTTGGTGGCAAGTGCATTTACCCATCTAGTTGGGCTGGAGAACAACTTCTGGTTCCTTAATATAATTAGCATGAAGAGAGATTTTCTGTGACATGCTAATGATGCCTAATGCCTTTGTTTTCCAAGGACTTCTTTCTAGTGTGTGAATCTGATAACATGTCCCTCACTGGTTACACTTGCTCAGGAAGGTAGGCTAGACCAGGAAAGCAAAAAGCTGTCCTGCCTGTGCGGCCTGTGCTGTGCTTTATCTTAACAGTGAGAGATCAAGTAAGATCAAGGCCAGCCTGGTCTACACAGTGAGTGCTAAGCCAGCTGGGGCTACAGGGAGACCCTGTCTCAAAAAGATGACCCCTCCCTACAAAAAGAGACGGGTAGGGCAGGATGTTATGACAAGTGCTGTTCTCAGCCTCACAGGAGCCACTGCAAAGCCCTCTGGGGAACACCAGCAAAGCTAGACTGACAGATGAGTGCACTGAGTCACACACACTGAAGCCTCAGGCCAGCAGTTCTAGTTATGGAACCCACTAGCACTGCCATCCCTGGAGGAGCAAGGGCTGATGCTGCAAGCTAGACGCTCTACATTTTTCCCTTCTTCCCACCAAAGTGATGTTTATCATAATGGGACTTCTTTTGTTTTGTGTGCGTGGAGGCCACAGGTCTACATCAGGCGTCTTCATCTCCATCTTATTTTTTGAGACAGGGTCTCTCAGTGAACCTGGAGCTCGCTGATTCGGAGCATGGCCAGTCAGTAAGCCCTAGGGATCCTCTTGTCTTTACCTCCACAGCACTGGGCTTACAGGTGTGTGCTACTGTGCCTGGCTTTTTATGTGGGTGTGGGGAATCTGAACTCAGGTCCTCATGCTTGGAGAGCAAGCACTTTACTGAGCAGTCTTCTCAGCCCTCTTTTATTTGAGACAGGGTCTTACTTATGCAGCCCTGGCTAGCCTGGAACTCATTCATGTAGACTCACTAATGTTGCCTCAAACTCAGAGATCTACCTGTCTCTGCCTCCTGAGTGCTGGGATTAAAGGCCTGTACCACCATGCCTGGCTTCACACTGGCAGCAATATTTTTCTCTCAGCTTCCTGAGTGATGAGACTAAATAAATACAATTTTAATTTATTTTTACTTTATTTGTATGAATATATTGCCTGCATGTAAGTATACCTGTGTCATGCAATGTCCGACGAGGCCAGAAGAGGGTGTTGGATCCCCTGGAACTGGAGTTAGGGGCAGCTGTTAGCTGCCATGTGGGTTCTCTGGAAGAGCAGCCAGTGCTCTTCACTGCTGAGCTATCTCTCCAGGGCCTCTCCTCCCCACTTTTGAGACAGGATCTGATTATGTAGCCCTAGCTGGCCTAGTATACGTTAGGTAGTCCGAGGTGACTTTGAACTTGCAGTAATCCTCCTGCCTCAACTTCCTTACTGTTGGAATTACAGGAGTGCAACACTGTGCCTGGTAGGATTTCTTTTTAATACACAATTTCTTACAGATGTTACCAATGCATTCAGATTCCAAATTGTTTGTGTTTGAGGGCAGTGTCTGGATACAAAGCTCAGGCTGGCCTTGATCATGAAACAGGGGATCCTCTTGTCTCTCTCAGCCTCACAAGTGCTGGAAGTACCAGTGTGCCCTACTATGCCCATCCAGCGAGTCCTTTTTCTTTTTAAATGGCTTTAAATAGCAACTTCTTTAGGTAGTGATTACATGTAGCTATTTGACAATGAACCAGAGAAACCAGGCTTTAAAATATCCATTAATAAGACAGTGAAAACTAGACTTACCTTCCGCCAGGGAAGAAGGAAAGAGTGGAGTGTCTTGGCCCGGGGGCGTCTGAGGAGAATTATGGGCACTGGTCCCCTTGGAGCTGCCTCCTGAGGAGCCCTCGTGCACAGCTGCGGCTGCTGTGAAGTATATATCCGACTGGAAAGAAAGGAAGCATTAGGAGCTGCCTAGTAGTCCAGGCTGTGCATGCACTGGCCTTGCCAAGTCGCTGCCAAGGCTCTGACGGGTCCGCAGGCCTGGAGGAGACATCCTGACTTCCTTAGCGCACACAGTGCAGACGTGGGTCTGAGGATTCATTTCCCCATCGCTTTTCCTTATCTGCCTATGGTAGAAAAGAGCTGACCTGCCACCCTACAAACCCAACACAATGCACACACTTCCATCAGGAACCTCAGATGAGCAGAGTCAGAATGGGGATGGCCCTTGGGGGTTCAGTTAGGCCCATTCTACAAGTAGGAAATTGTTCCCTCAGTGATTCAGCAGACACTTTTGTATACCCGTATCTGTTGCCTTTGGTGATAACAGCATGGTACCCTGGACATGTCTCCTGAGAGCAAACGTGAAGAATTTTGGAAGATGGCCACCATGTGAGTTCCAGGACAGCTGGGGCTACAGGGAGACCCTGT